GCGCTGGGGGAGGGAGGGAGGGATCCGTTCCCCTTCCTTCTGCGGCTGCCTCACTCCTTCCTGCCTCGATCATTCACGCGGCCGCTGCGAGCTCGCTCCGCCGCCGCGCTCCATGCCCCGGGCGCCGCCGGCCCCTCCTCGCGCGGCTCCCGCCGCCACCAACTTAGGCTCTTGCCGCAAACAAGGGTGGTGGCTCCGGGCTACAGCCGCGGATGCTGCAACCCGCCCGGCCTTGCGCTCCTCCTGCCATGTTTTCTGGCTGAGTCGCCAACTCCCAGGGAAGAGAAGGAAAAAAAAAAAAAAGAAAAAAAAAGATATAGGGGGAATCTTCTTTTAAATTCCCTTTCTCAGGCTTTCAGACAAACTATTGGGAAGAGGCGGCTGCGGCGGATCTGCCAGCCAGACGCTGCATGGCTCTGAGGGAGGCTCCCCCTCCCGTTGCCTTTGCTGTAACCTCACTTAAGCCTATCGAAATCTTTTGTGCGGTGTCACCGCCCTTCGTTTAAATCCTGCCCTCCCCCCGCCGCGCCGCTCCCGCCCGCCGCCTCGCGCTCCTCCCGGGCACAGGGGGCAGCAGCGCCGGGCGGCGGCGGACGCGGGGCCAACGGCTGCAACCAACGGCTGCAACGGCCGCCGCGCCCGCGCTGCCCGCGTGAGGCGACACCGCGGCGGGGCGCGGGGAGGGCCGGGGAATTAATAAATTTAAAAAAGATCGTGTCGGGGTGAGAGGAGGCTGAACGGCAGCAGAGGGGCTTGCCGGGGCCAGCGGCCACCATGGGGCGGGAGAGTGGCGGGTTCAGGCAGGTGCCGAGCAGGCSGCCGGCGGCCCGGGCATCCGCCGCGCAGAGCGGGGCGCTCGAGCCTCGCCGTGACCCGGCTCTGCAGAGCCCGGCACTTCCTTAGTTGTGACGGGTGCTCTAAGCACGGCCTAGGGCATTGCTGCGCTTTTATTTACTCACAAATACTGCCCTCCAACACTGGTCATGGAATAAGGTTCATCCCATCTCTTAATCTGATAAAAATGTTTTTAATGTGTTCCCTTCTTTTTTTTAATTATTATTTGCCATTTGCTAGGATATAGTGGGACAGATGCAATCTTGTCTTTGAGGGTGTGTGGCAAGTGTCTGCAAATAAGGGCTTCTCCCCTGGGCTGTTGCTGTCCCTCAGCGCAGCGGGAGCCAGAGTGGCGGCTCCTGGCAAGAGCAAGATGCTGCGTGCAGTAAATTTGAGGCAAGCAAGCTAGTGCTGCTAAATGATAATCAAGTTATTAATTGTGCTGGAGCAGGTTGGAAGACGATGGACTGGGATGCTTCCAAAGGGAGTATATAATTTGATAACTGTCAATGATAAGAAAGGCTGATGTCCCACACATCAGATTCTCTGCTCTTGTGCAATCCATATGATACCAAAGAATCAAGATTCCACTGTGAAACATCTTACATTTATTACATACTTTGCTGAATAATTAGAATTTTTGTTTCTCCCTTCAGTCATAGTTTGATATTAGACTCTTGATTCGTGGGACTTATGATGCACTTATGCTATAAAAATTGATAAATACTTCGGGTCTAAATCTTATTGATGCTGAAGTTCCGCTGTGTTTGTCCTGCTGTAGTGGTGTATGTGGCCTGGATGTAAATCCAGGTCAGACCCAGGCTGTGCATTGTGCAGCACATCCAGTAAGGCCTYGGCCCGGAGCCCAGCCAAGGGCCTGCAAGCTCTTAACTGCCTTTGTGGAAGTTCATTTGCAGGGATTCTCACCCAGGGGCTCTCCGGCCTTCCCCCCTCGCCCGCAGCGAGCGGCACCGCAGGATGAACGCAGCTCCGAGAGCGGCTGCGCGGAGGTGCCGCCTGCTGCTGCAGGGGGAAGAGGCGACGTCCAGGCGGGAGGAAAGGGGCAGATCCGCCTGCTCCTGGGTGTGTCCCAAATCTGGCAGCTCTCCACCCATCCCTCCTCACTGCAACCGTGAGGGAAGTTCTGTTTATTTAAGGCAGATTATAGCAGTTTGAAGGAAGGTCATGGTTTGGGCCTAAACAATTTGGGTCTGCTGCCAACAACTGTTTTTTTTTTTTTTTTTCCCCCAAAGCTATAAATAGGAATGATTTCAGAATACTCTGAAAAATAAGAATTAATGGCCAGCAGAACCCATCCGATTTGGAGACAGATATGTCCTTAAGAGAGACAGTGAGATGCTCTGTAGCAAGAGGAATGCCTCTCATCTAAATATTAACCTATATTTTCTTTTTAATGAAGATTGACTCAGTTTAATGAAGCTTTGAAAGATTTAATTTTAGAAAGCTTAAGGCCTCACCCCTGGCTAGAAGAGCTGTTAAATGACCTAATAATCTCTTTTTTTTTTTTTTTTTCCTCCCCATCTCTAGATCCTGCTGCTGCAGTTCTCCACCAGGTTTGTGCCATTCCCCTGGAACAAAGCGGAGGGATTTTTGCTTTGGACAGGGCATTTTCGGCCCCTTTGCTGCCCCTCCTGCCGAAACCCAGTCAGGCTTTGCAGCGTGGCAGTTCCCAGCAGCCACAAGGGCCCCTAGAGCTCTTTGTTACTCATTTATTATAAAACAAATACTCTTTTGGCTTCTTTAATCTACCGACAAGGCTGAGCCACTGCTTATCTGCCTCAGTGTTAGCCAGGGGCAAACCCTGTAGTTTCTGTCAGTCAGTAGGTTGCTTGGGCACCGCCTCTCGGTTTCTGCCTTGCCAAGTGTCATTTTCCTCCCTGGGCTGCAGTAATTAGAGCTGAGGCTCAGATAGCTGCATGTTTCCAAGGGCCGGCGGATGCACCTGAATTGCTTGGAGTGGAACTTGTCCTCAGTGATGCTCGGGGTGGGTTTTCCTTCCCCAGTYCTTTGCACATCTCTTTCAAGCAGGACGGTGAATGCTCATTTCTTAGCTGCCGAGTCCAAAGGTGATCTGCAGCTCTTGACTTGGGCAGCTCTGAGCTGCTGTACAGAAATAGCGTTTTACTCTTTGTGCCTAGGAAGCATAAAAATCAGGTAGCACTGCATGGTTTTAAAAAGATTTCACTGACAACGTCTGAATGAAATAACTCTCTGGGCTGAAAACTGCTGGCATTGTCACATACAAGGGATTAAAAGGCTTTTAATGTAGCTTAGCAGCATGTAGGAGATTGGCTTGCTTCTGTGAGCTCTTCCTTCGTCAAATTGATCTTTATTTTGCATTGTGCTTAGTCCAACAAAAACTGGAGGCTAAAGTCTTCATTTATGAACAGTCTGACAGGCTTTGGCCCTTTTATTGCTTAGTAAAATCTTTTTTTTTTTTTTTTTTTTTTTTTTGTAAAGGAGAGATTGATTTTTGCCAGTGTTGAGTAATAGCTACAGAATACCAAGTTGTAATAATTTTATGATCACTGTATGTGGCCTGGTTGGTGAGAGGAAGTTACTATACAATAGTTTATATTACTTTCCTGTATGGATGTATTGATCTAACGTAATGGGGAGCAAGCTGACGAGGGAATAAAAGGCAATTGAGTGGCTCCCCTGGGTCAGCTGTACGTGACTAAACCCAGGAGGTGGCAATTACAAGATGATGGCTCCAAATCCAAGGGATGTAGCTGTTGGGTCAGGCTGGGAACTAGAAACCAGAGAATAAAGTTGGCGGAGGCTGACAAAAGCCATAATTTAACGCAGAGCAAGACTTGGCAGGAGAGGCTGGGAGAAACTGGGCCAGCCTTTCTGCAGCAGGGGAAGGGTAAGTCGCGTGGAGGGAGAGGCAAATGTGCCACTGGTTTAATGTTCTTAAGATCTATTTTGTCTTAAATGCTTTGGGGCTAACTAACTGCTTTGTGGTCAGTACTTCCTGAGACTGAAACTGCAGGGTCGGGGTCTGTGTTGGGTCTGCAGAGGAGATCATGGCTGATAGACTGGGGAGGCAACCTGGGAGCCATTCTGCATATGGCAAAGTTCTGTGATTCTCCTTTTATTTATAAATATCTATATCTATATCATATATAGATATAGATATATAAAAAGCTCAAGATCTGGAAGAATGGTGAACCAACTAGTTGTGAGAGCCTAATGCAATCAGAAAGTCTTATTTTTTCTTCTTTGATTCTTCTGACTTTATTTATAAATATAAAGCTTTTATAATAATAGCTGGGCTTCAACAAACAGGCTTAAACTTGACATTTTTATTTGTTTTCTTTATATTCTGTAGTTAAAAACATATTTGAGGTAAGAAAAAATATATAGACACTGTGAATATAAATATCGCAGTCATGTCTAAAATAGTAGTTAGCTCCTGTGGTGCAACTGAAAGACATTACAAAGAAAAAAGTGGATTGTATTTTGTTCGCTTTGTAGTCACCCTTATTGTACTGTTGTTTTTACCACTTACCATATATAATCAGTTGGTTGTCCCCTGCTGCTAGAACGTATATTTAATATGTTGACGTGGAAAAGAAACATTTTTATGGACAGGAAAATGCAGCTACAAACCTCCTCTTCCACCAAATAGGGGACTGTGCTGTATTCCGTGCTCGCTCAGTCAGCAAAGGCTTTCTGCTGCAGTCCTTGGGGGTGTTGCTCACAATACGTGTGGGTATTGCTCTTGCCACGCTGTTTTCTAGGGCTGGCCCCTCTTTTCTAAGGCTGGCACCATGAGGGGCTGCCACACGGTTAGTCCCGCGTGTCCCCTCTCCCTGGAGCAGCCCAGGAGGGGCTGGTATCGTTTGGTGGGGTGGCTGGCCTGGAATTCCAAAGCCCTGAAGGGAAAGGGAGTAGATACTATTGGTAGGAATGATGCATCATAAACAGGAATCCCAGACCCTCCCTTCAGACTCTTAGGTCTACTTTTGTGGAGATCAAAGGAGAACACAGTATTTTGAACAAAATGTGCAAGGGCCCACCCTTCCTGCATTGCACATCATGTCCTGCAGCTGTAGGACTCTACAGAACGGTTTCCCCCCCCCCCATTTTCTTTTTAAAATACATCTCCTAAGAGAATGGTAGTAGATGGTTTCATGGGATCACTGCAGGAAGTCTGTGCTCATGCACTTCTCCATGTATCGTGTGTTTGCTTTCTCTGAAGAGAGCTGTTGATCACTGCCAGCACCTTTAATTCAGCAGAAGTTCTTATAATATGTTACACTAGATGTAGTGTACASTAGGTGCCAAAACTGACCTGTAAACCTGAAATTAAAGTGGGACTCCAAAATTAATTTCACTTAGATTGTGGAAATTAGTCTATAAATGGAATTCCTGTGGGAAATGTGTAAACCTCATTGACATTCCCTTAAAGTAATTCTTAGCAGGGTAAATTAAATTGTATAACCAATACGTAGATTTAACTAGCACAGATCTGCAGCAAATCTTGYGGTGAGATGCGTATGCACAGGAACACTCTGGAATTTCTGACTTTAGGAATTACAGTGTCTGGTTTATTGCAGCTGGCCAGACAGCCCTCATACTCTTCCTTTCCCCCTGCTCCCCAAAGCCTCCCCAAAAATAAAACCCCAAACCGATCCAACAGCTAATGATACAAATGCATCATTTACCGAGAAGCTCAGTTCAGCCAGTATATAGAACAACATGCGTGGAATAAGAGAAATTTATGATAAAGGTAGGCCAAAACTGAAATCCTAATCCGAATTTCAAAACCATTACATGAATCAGAACTTTGTGATCAAATGAGACTATGATCTTTTGACCTCTAATGTGGGAATATTGAAATTCAAGACTAGATAAAACACTAAGCATCATATGTTTGCAGGCTACAATGAAACTAGTATTATCAGATAAGTTGTGTTCTGTAGTGATAATAGTCTTGGCTGCAAAAGTTTTAAAAACTTTTGAGGAATATGAAAACATTTAAACTATAAAATATTTGTATGATTCTCTATGATTTCTATGGTTTCTAGGATTTTAGAGGTTTTTATTTCTAGATTTTATGCTCTATACTCTGAGCCAAACATATGTGCCTCAGTAAAAATAAGATGCACTTTAGTTTGCCCTGTCAATGAAATGAATAGTTGTTTCTCATTAGAATTTGCATGGAAAAGAAGAACAGTGAAGCTCAGATACAGACTGAATAGGTGTCTGTCCTGCAGCTGTCTCCACAAAGAGCGTAACTGCTTTGAACGAGTTCTTCCGGGACACACAATTCTGCCTAAACAGAGATAGTTTCAAGGTCTGAGTCGAGCATGGAAAGTATCTTTCCCTGAAATTAAAATTGTATATGCATGACAAAAATGCATAGTGTTATTCGGTGTAGTGCTAGATGTACTGATCTAGTTTTCACTGACCAAAGGAAATTGGACTTCTTTTGAGACGACCACTGTGCATTAAAGTTGGTTTGATTTGTTCTAATAAGAGAAAACAGAACTGAAGGAAATATTTTCTAGTAGAAAGTTGGTGAAAATGGATTTAGTGGTACAGGTCTAACATTCTATAATCAAATATTTAGTCTTTTTTTTCCAATGAATGTATGCATGAATCAGTAATAACAAACTTASCAGGATCACATTCTAGTAAAACCCAGCAATGGTTTTGCTAGGTTTTACTATACACTTTTACTATATACAATATACTTTACCTAATGTTCTTTTTAATGAGAAATGACTGAGCAAATGTGCTCATTAGCAACTTAYGGGACAGCTCTGTGAGAAATGTTTGACAAACCCCCTGGTTACTGTGCATTTAACAAGCTTCATGGAGAGCCATGGCGCAGCAGCTTCCAGGTTGTCAGACACTGATCCTACTCCTGAAATTCTGGGAGATGACCTCCCGCCCCGCAGGCTGCCCGCCAGGCCGGCTGTTCATTGGGGTGCAGATCTTCGGGCCCTCGCTGCCGTGGTGGTGGTTAGTGTCTCCCTGGTGCAGGAGCTGCCGCGTTTCCCCAAGCTCTGGCTCCTGGCGGTCTGGGTTCAAAAGACACCAGAGAAGATGGTGCCCTCTGTGATTAAGGGGACTTTGATGAGGGAAGAAAGGCTGAAGACTGATCCAAGCATCTACAGTCACTGGACTGCGTACGCCAGTGTCTATCGGATAAGGGACTAGCTGCTCCACTCTGTTCAAAAAGAAATCCTTATCTCAGACAATTTTGTGGTGCTCAGATATTTTAGAGTCTCATTTTACTAATAAAACAGCTTTATTTTTAGAAGTACAAAACATCTAACATTGTTCCTGGTTAAAATCAGCCCCTGGTGCAATACAAACCCAAATCGCTCAGTGCCGTGTCCTACGCGCTAGTCGACCAGCTGGAGAGGGGAAAAAAAAAAAAAAAAAAAAAGAAGAAGAGCCCCCGCTCGGCGAAGCACAAGGGCATCTTTCTCTCAGCGGCCCGGGCCGGGTCCCGAGCGGGGCAAGGCCGGGCAGTCCCGCGCCGGGCGCGCGGCTGAAAATGGCTCTTTGTGCCCGCGGCGCCACCGGGCGCGACGGGACGGGGCCCGAGGAGGGGGTGCCCGGGCCCTCCGCGGGCACCTCCCGCTGCCTCCCTCCCTGCCCCGGGCAGCCCGTGCCCCGCTCGCTGCTCCCGCCCGGGCCGCCCCGCTGCCCCTTCCCGCCTTCCGGCTCCTCCCTCGGCCCGGCCCGCGCCGCCATTGCTCCCGCCCCTGGAGGCCGCTGGCGGCCGCGGAGAAGATGGCGGCGGCGGCGGCTCGCTGGGCGCTGCTGGCCCTGGCGCTCGCGCTGTGCGCGGCCGCGGCCGACGAGCCCGAGGGGAAGCGGCGGCCGGCGCCGGCCAAGAAGAAGAAGGACATTCGGGACTACAACGACGCGGACATGGCGCGGCTGCTGGAGCAGTGGGAGGTACGGGGAGGGGCCGGGCCCGCGGCGGCTGCGCTGGCGCGCGGGGCCCGCGCCGGGGCCGCCCCACGCCCCGGGGCGGCGGGGCCCGGAGCGCCGCTGCTGCGAACGCGCGTCCCGCGGACACAAGCAGCTGTGGTGTTGTGGGGTGGATTGCGTGGAGGAGGGATGCCCCTGGCTCGAGCAGCCGTAGACGTTGGGCTCCCCGTTGTGTACCAGCCCCGTGGCAGCGCGAGCAGGCGGCTCTGCTCGGGGGAGCCCCGTGCTGCCCCAGTGCCCTGGCCGCGCCGCCGGGAGAGGTGCCCGCGCAGCTGGAGCGGCTCGCGGCCTTGGCGGCGTTGTCCCCAACGCCAGAGCCCGGGGAGCAGCCGGAAACAAGGGCTGGCGACCAGGGGTGCTGCTTGTCCCCTGGGTGCTCGAGCACGTGGCGTTGTGCAGGGTGCAGCTGAGGAGGAACATGGAGGARGTGAGGGGGTGGCTGGAGGAGAAAGGAAAGGGCACGGAGGGACCTGGTGAGGAGGGCGCTAAAGGAGACCCACCGGCATGGTGCGTTTGGGTGAGGAGGAGCGAAGGGCCCGGGGCGCAGAGCGGAGCAAAGTCGAGTCTCATCAGTGCCAGCTCCGTGAGGTGGATCCCGCTGTCTCCCTTTCCATGGTGACGAGTGTGGCAGAGCGAGGGCCTGAGAGAAGGGTGCCCCGGCAGCCCCGCTGCAGGACGTGGAACCAAAGCCTTAAGGAAGATTAATTACCGCTATCTTCTGTCTTCTTGCATCCCCTTTTCTCACGTGYAGGACTGCATAAAATGCTCTGATTATACAAGGGTGTGTGTTAATTTCTGAATGATTAGCAACACTTCCTTCTAAAAGCTGAGTTTGTTAAAGCTGGGTTGTAATCCTCAGCTGTTTTTAAGCTAGTTTGATAGAGCAATAGAGTGGGCATGCAACCAAGGCAACTTTCCAGACTTTTCAGTTCCTTTGAACAGATTATAGTAGACCAGGTTTGTGGAAGCTAGAGGAGCTAAAGGATTTCAGTTTTGRTGCCTCGGGACAGGCAAACAGGTCGTCGTTCAGTGTGCTCAGCCCTTGCCTCCAGTGCAGGAGGAACAGGGTAGGGAAAGCACCAGGCTTCATTTGTGTCACGTAGGGCTTCCCCTCGTGGAAGGGGAATCTCCAATGGCCTTGAATGCCARGGAGCTGGAGACAGAACCAAGAGCCTGGTCTGGAAGTTCTTCTGTACCTAACACTTCATATTCTTTAATTCGTTAGTTCATTATTGCAGTAAGCGCCAGGTGAGTTCCTCAGRCTTGACTCTGAGCTTGGATAATGCTGTATTAGAAGCATTTATTTGACTAGTAAAGGCAGCCCAGGCAATATTCTTTAGTAAGTTGTGTTGTCACTCTAGGCGTAGTTTATTTCTTTCTTGTTAATAAAGGTTATTTGGAAACTTCTGCTTCTGGCTTTCTTTTTCAGTGGCGAGAAGCCAGTTGGTCTTCTGCTAACCAAACTAGTATAAAATTAGGATTGACTTGGTTTTACTGCTCAAGATCCTTTTTCATTTCACTCATACGAGATTTTAAACTCTCACAGTGCTTCACAAATGCTCCTATTTTCCAGTTCCCCTTGAAATGGGCAGTGTCCCCGTGGGGGCAGTGGCACTTTCCTGGGGCTGTCTTTTTGCTGCGTTTCACTTGCTGTGGAATTTCCAAAGGCATATGAGTTATTCTAATGCATGCTTTAAACATGCAGAGTTGAAAAAAATATGCAAGTAGTAAAGAAGGATCAAATTTAAGCCTTTTATAATCTTGTTTCCACAAAATAAAAGTTGTAACCTCCTTCATCAGAAAGATAGCACTTTTTATAATGGAGAAGAGGGAAAAGAGCAAAGGTCACTCATGTGAAAGCTTAAACTTTAAAGGGTAYGGGGACATTCCTTGCAGTGTGGGTGTTTTGTGAACTCAAATCTGCACGTGCAGAGATGGTCTAAAAATCTGGCTGGGCTCCTGACCTTTGAGGCTTCTGAAGGGAGATATCTTTAGATGTGGCTATAATTCCTATTTCCTAATGGAGTAAAACATATTTTGCTGACTATTTGAAATTAATACAACACTGAAAATATCTGTCTCAATTCCTGCTGGTGTCCTGGTGCTTGTTCTATCATGAGACACAACTCACTGCTTTCGCTGCTGTTTTTTTGTTTGAGAATCTCTGTTAAACTAAACATAGATTTCTTCTTACCAAAGCAGAGTAATTCTSTAAACAATGAGAAGTTTCAAAAAAAGGAACAGTTCTGTGGGAGTTGAGGCTTGTATAAAAGGGAACGTTAAGTTTAAAATCSATTTTTCCTTCTGCAAACAGAAAGATGATGACATTGAAGAGGGGGATCTTCCTGAACATAAGAGACCTCCTGCCCCAGTAGATTTCTCAAAAATTGACCCAGGCAAGCCTGAAAGTATTCTGAAGTTGACGAAAAAGGGGAAGACTCTGATGATGTTTGTCACGGTGTCGGGAGAACCCACTGAAAAGGAGACAGAGGAAATCACCAGCTTGTGGCAAGGCAGCCTCTTCAATGCAAACTACGATGTACAAAGGTAGGCGGCCGCACGCAAGGAGCAGCTTCTGGCTTTCACAGAACCCTCGTTTCCTCCTTCCCGAGTATCCTTCTACCTGCTTATCCTGTGCTCTGTCCTTACCCCATCCCCTCTCACTATTTCTTTGTTTCTGTAGCAGTTTAGATACTATTTTTTTACATCTGTAAGTTCTAAGTGTAAGTGAGGTAGTGCACTGATCGTTTTTAGCACTTACTCATGGCRTGCATATAGTCTAGTTTCTTTTTCTCCTTATGTTTCAGACATTTAACAATTCTAGCTGCAATAGTTGCCTTTATGTGCTTGATAGAAGACATCACATATGGAAGTCTTGTTGCCACAAAAGGCCCTTTTATTCCCTTGCCTAAAAATATGTCTGTCTGTGAGAGGACAGAGGATCATTTTAATACAGAGGAATGTTGCACTCTTGAGTTGACACTGAGAAGAGTTGCAGTAAGTGTATGAAGCAGATTTAATATCTATTAGGGATTTTTATTCAGTATCAATTCTTAACTGTTCTTCATATCCTTAATTCTACYTGGTTATTTGTGAGCTTGATACTTCTTACACGTGCTCATAAATTCCCCACACCAAGCACCAGTGCTCCCTTACTACTCTTATCTGCATGTCYTATTTTTGATGTTGTTCTCAATCAAAGCAAAATGTTTTAGCACTTGAAAGGCACAAAGGTAACYGAAGAAATATATCTCTCTCTTCTCCAGGTTTATTGTTGGCCCAAATCGTGCCATATTTATGCTGCGAGATGGTGGTTACGCCTGGGAGATCAAAGACTTCTTGATAAATCAAGAAAGGTGTGCGGATGTTACTCTGGAAGGCCAGGTTTACCCTGGCAAAGGAGCAAAAGAAGGTGATAAAGTAAAAAATAAAACAAAACCTGAGAAAGGAAAGAAGAAAAAGGACACGGGCAAGAATTCTGAAGGCATCAAAGAGGACAACCGAGCAACCAAACAGAGAGAGGATCTATGACAGACACATGAACCAGACTGAACACTGCTCTGTTGTTGCTGGCAGGGAAGTTATGCTGCCGTACAATTCCTGGCTTTATTGGGGGGAAGGAAGAGATTACTGAGCTTAAAGACTTCTGTGTTCAAATATACCAGTTTACTTATTAATGTTGGTCACTTGTTTAGCAACCGCACAGGTACCAGAGTTTGACTACTTTAGTATTTTTTGTTTGTTTGTTTGTTTTATGTGTTTAACATATKAATCTGTGCATCTAACATTGCAAACCAAGTGGCAAAGAAAGAATGCAATGGCAGAATACCCTGGTGTTCATCTGGAGTAGCAATTCTCTGTCCAGAGGACACAAGTTAGTCATTGATTTGTGGTTGCTGCTGCGTAGCAGGACACATTGCTAGAAGATGCTTTTGTGGGCACCAGTTTTGCAGGATTCAGGGAGCCAAATACAGACAATAGTGTTACTGTGGCCAAAGATGCCTGAAATCTTAAGGCTTACAATTCATATGGTTATACTGCTTGTTTCTTTAAAATAAACTAAGGACYTTTCTGTTTGCCCCTTCAAAAATCCATGCAAGTGCCTAGAAGTGTAGTACAAATTAGGCAGAGAGTTTCAKCAGTCTACATCAGTACAGAATCGGTGCAGAAAGGAGATTCTCTGCCCATTAGAAATGGTACTGTTGAGGTTAATGGAATTGCAGAACTAGCATGAACACTATCCTGGTGAAAGGAAAGGCAGAGTTGCAGCATTCAAGCTGCTGCTGCTGTCAAGGATCTGTGCCTGGGAAGACAAATATTGTGTTTCAGTGCCTGGGAAGGCAAATACTGTGTTGCAGTATCTGGAAAGTTAAACTTGGAGTTAGGTCACTCACTGATGTTCAATAACCAGATTTCTTTAGTAGATTCCTCATTGAAATATCGGTTATAAGTGATCATTGATTTAAATGCATTAAAGCTTGATGTATGGAAGCAAGTCAAATTCCTCCTCAACAGACTGTATAGTCAGGAGGGTCTTATTTAAATGGTACTCAATCAAATGCATGGCTTAGAATTGTTTCCCATTTCCTCATTTTTTAAGGACTAAATGTGCTTAGTTTATATGATCCCTGTCTTCTTCTTCCAGAGGTTGAGTAAGGTATTGGCTTTCTTCATAATAATAAGACTTTTTTGTTGTTATTGTCTTCTTGTTAAGGTGCTAAAATCTAAGTGTTTTGGATGAAAGTTCTTAACCGTAATGTTTGGTTGTGTGGAATACTTCGATATCAGAAATGGGAAACCAATTTGCKGAGTACTTGTTTCAAAATAAAAGATGCCACTGAACCCCATGTGTTATTATTTTGAAGCCTTAATGAAGCAGTAATGCTTGAAAATTGTGTATCGCCTGTTAATTTAGTTAAGTGTTTGAGAGAGAGGCTCACCYACCTTTGGATTCTGTGCTTGGTCGTAAAGACTAAATGATGTTGGTGAGGATTCCAGGTGATCATCATTACTTGCTTTGATACTTGTATGAATTTATGATTAAAGAAAAATTTCCTACTGCAATTCACTAAACAGGCCCTTGCTTATTTGTTTAAGTGAAAAAAATAAAAGCATGTATTTCTTAAGGATTCAGTATATTTTTTCTATACATTTATGTTAATGGTGGGATATAAAGCAGCTGAGAAGTTTTTGCCGTTATTTGGATATTGCATTATCTTGTACAATCATTTCTTGTTCATAACTAATTTATTTTGTCAAGTGTTTTAGTTCAGTAGTCCTGCCCCACACCCACCTTTTTTTTTTTTTTATATTTGACACAATTTGCATAGAAAAATAAATCTTTTCTGATCATGATCAGAAGTATGTGCAAGTGGACTGTAGTTTTTCTAAGCTTGCACTTACTGTTGCTTTGAATCCAGCTGGTTTTTGCCTGAGCTGAATAATCTTGCAATGCAAAAATAGTACACAAATAATATACAGGCAAGTAATGTTCCCCAAGGAGGAGAGATACTGTAATATAGATGCAGCTCAGCCTGTGAAACTACGCACTTGTTTCAGCTATTAATAAATCCTCACTTCCACTCTAAGTAGGTTTTATCTTTTCCCTTTATAGTTAAGAGGTGGAGCAGCAGCTGGAGGCCTTCTTGAAAGCAGAGAAACAGCTTTGCTGAAATTCAGCCAGGCCCTAAACTTGGATGTGACGTTTTTCTGTCTCAAAATCCTCACGCTGCCTGTGCTAAATGCAGTGTGCCTGTGCACGCCTGGATAGGCGACATGGACGTGCTTCTGTTTTAACAAATACTTGTTTCATCAGTAGTGTGATGGTTTTAATTCTTGACATTTCAACCTCCTATACATCTTGATACACTTTGATGTGACAATTCTTACTGTAGAATAAAATAAGCTATTTTTAACTTTCATACTGTAGTATTTTAGCAAGAATAAACCCCACTTGATTAAGGTMGTATTTAAATCTAGAAAAATGCTTGAAATTCTGAAGTCTTTGTTTGTTTGTTTTTAATTTTTTATTTTACCCCAGACACTAATACAGAGTGCACTGATACAAGCTGACCTGCTGGAAAGCAGCTCTGCGGAGAGGAATTTGGGAGTCCTGGTTGACACCAAGTTAACCATGAGGCAGCAGTGCCCTCGTGGCCAAGAAGTGATGTGGCCGGCAGGGCGGGGATCCTGCCCCTCTGCTCAGCTCTGGTGAGGCCAAACCTGGAGCATTGGGGGCAGTTCTGGGCTCCCCATTCTGGGCTCAACCATTCTGTGATTCTGTGATTTTTTGGCATACTTAACAAATAATTGCAACATAACTCTGAATAAAAAAAAGGTTTCCAGCCTTGACCTGCTGTGAGTGATACAACTGCAACTCTGCAGGAAGATACTTCTAAAAAGTAGCAAATGGGTGCSTTTGGGGGAAAGGGAGCAAAGGAACAGCTGCAAGGAGCCCACCCTTCCTGCAAGGGGCAGCGGGTGCCCGGTGCTGCAGCGCACGGCTTGTGTCGCAGCCTCCCTGGTTCCATGAAGAGGAAGGACGTCTTGCTCCTCCAGCGGGGCCCGAGGTGACGKCCGGGCGCTCCCAACCACCTTAGGAGCCTCTGTCAGGATGTCTAATGAGTTGCACRGACAAGTAAGTTTTTACTGAAAAAAATACATAGCTGAGCACTTGCTGAGTCAATAAAAGAAATAAAGCCTTAGTGTGTGAGTTCATCTCATCACCATTTAGTGTTTCCTAGACCAAGGATTGCCATTCTCTCTGTATGTGTTTTAAAATCTCTCTTCCTCAGTGCCATTTTCTTTCCAATTTTATTGCAAAAATAGTTGTTTTTCATGCTCCCATCTAAAATGAAATCCTGTGAGGTTTCAAACCAACGCGTATGTTAAATTACACAAGCCTTTCCTATTAATATTTTAGTGTTCACCTTGTGTTTCATATCCAAAGCATGCCCTGCTTCTCAGTCCTTCCTAGTCAGCTGTTGCCTTTGTTGCTGTAAAACACATTAATAATGATGTGAACTTCAGCTAATTGTGTTTCTGATAGTATTACCAGCCAGCTTAGTGGAAAAATAGGTGCATGCTTTGGCATTTAACACAGCAGCTGAGTCGAGGCTTTTGAGAAACTAATTCTGATTTATTTTAGCCATAAGAATTAATGCAGAAGCTAAATACAATTTTGTGGTGTAATTAGCTATGTAACTGCCACTCTGCTTTCCCTTCCACCCCCATCCTTCCCATAGCTGTGTATGGGATGATGYAGCATAACTAACTAAGCCGTACTGTTCAGTTCTCAATTAACCCTGGTAAGGTTTGGAAATTCCCTAGTAAGGAATAGATTTCATCCACCTTCTTATGTCCGTAGTGCTAAATGTGGGTGGTCTTAATACATGAGGTGAGAAAAATCAGCATGAGGTTTGTAACAGAGAAGGTCCGAGGCTTGTGTGGGGTTCAAGGAATGGCCAAATGGTAGAGTTTGCTGTGGATGGAAGACAAGAGAACAGAAATAAAAGCCCGATCAGCTTTAATGATCTCCTAACGCACCACTATTAGGTGAGAAGCCCTTGGGTTACTGCACTTCACGAAWCCTTCTCCCTCCTGCTTTCCTTATTGAGCAGTTACAACACATGTAACAAAAGCTGATGTTATTGCTGTACTGGCGGGGGAGTGGGGGAGAAACGGGGCTTTAGTCACGCTCTCTCCCTAGCTTTACTCAACCCTTAGACATAAATAGAAAAGATCATTATTTTTAGGGGCTTTCTGCAGAATGATTTCCTGTTGAGTCCTACCACTGCTTTCTTATTGCAAGCCATTTCTTACTGCATCCTAGCACAGCGCTTGGTTGTTGAGATACACTTCAACTAAGAATCAGAAATAGAAACTGCAAATTATTCTACTTGCAAGGTAATAGAGCCACTGCCTCGGTTTTTGTTTTAGGCTTCTACACCATACATGGTGCTAAGGGATCGGTGTAGGAAGGAGCTTTTGAAGGTGTGTTTTGTGAGGAAGACGTGCAAGGGGCAAGGGGAAGGAAGGGTGTAGTCACAGTCGTGGTTTCCACACATCCCTCCCTCATCCTTCTGCTCTGAAAGGAGGTGGTGTGAGAGAACAGCCTCTGAGTCAGATGCTGGACTGCCCCTTTGGGGCTGAAAGAGCCCAAAGACATTTGCTTAATATTCTGATGGAAGGTGATAGATTGGCTCATTCAAAAAGACCTGAAAGAGTTGCATTAAAACCACTTTAATTTGGGCATTGCCCAAATAAATTTTTTTTGTCTAGCACTTTTTAGAGGAGGGTGGAGGGAGAAGACAAGGGTGAAAGCTATCGAGAGTTGTCCATCTGTTGCTCTGTGAAGCAAAGGAGGTTCACATACAGCCATTAGAAATAATAATAAACTCTGTAAATAACTAACTGTCATTTCACTGTATGGATCCTGAATGAGAAAAATACTCTTAACAAACAGCTCTGTTATGTGCTTGCTGCTCAGAAGAAACAAGAGTGGCTACTCAGCTGAATATATTACTGTCATGATGGCTAAGAATGACTTTATACAAGAGACAAGTTCTCTGTTTTGGGTCTTTTTTTTTTTTTTTTTTTTTTTTTTTTTTTTGTTTGGGATTCTGGGAACAGCCCCTGTTTTTCCATTGTCCAAAGCAACATGTAAATGGAGGGAAAAGAACCCCCTCCCCACCCCCCACCCCCAAAACCACTCTCCCAGTTTTTGAAAGGCAGTCACTTCAGCTAAAGATGCTGTAATATTTTTCCAAAACTTTGCCACTTATTTCCAATTGAGTTTTTTCCTTGTGATTTATTTATAAAGAAAGAGTTGAACAGCTAGGTGAGCTCTGCTGGGTGTTGCGACATTGCCAAGGGTTTTTCCACTTGCCCCTTCTGCACAGGTGAGTGAGCACAGCAGTTGCTTCCTCCAGACCAGCCATTCTGCAAGTTCTACTTTACCCTCTGCTATTTGGGTGAATTACGCCAGGAACCAACRCTGAAGAACATCGGGTTGCTGTGAAGGGCGACTGGGTGACATTAAAGCAGCCAAAGAGCCACCAACCCGTGTTACAGACGCACTGACACCGACSCACCCGCGAGGCCCCTCTGCGGCCGCGGCGCCTCACGGCTCCCCTCACGCCGAGGGCGGGAAGTTGGCGCCGGGCGCGGCCGTTAACGGGCGCGGCGGGGCGCGGCGCGGCCGCCAGAGGGCAGGCGCGGGCCGGCCATGGCGGCCGTTTGGTTGCGTGTCCGGCTGCGGGTGCAGCGTTTACGTGCAACAGGAAAAAATAGGTAGCAATTGGGACGAGTGGCATGATTTCTGTATAGTTATGTGCAGAGTTTATTATTTCTAATGGCTGTATGTGCATAGAAATCCAAACACACATATACGTGTATACACACATGCAAACACATTTGTTGTCACCTTCCTCGTTTACTGAGGGAGCCAAGGAGGAGTGTGTTATGTCAGAGGTGTCTGACGTGTAACGTCTCTGTCCTGTCCATTATTGGGTACACAGCTCTTCAGCCGTACCTAGAGGGGGAAAAAAAAAAAAAAAAAAAAAAAAAAAAAAAAAAAAAAAAAAAAAAAAAAAAAAAAAAAAAAGGTTCCTTTATATATGTACATATTACACATATATGTGCGTAATGCAACATATATGCATTATGGTCCTGCCCATTATTAGGTACACAGTTCTTCAGCCATATCTAGAGGGGAAAAAGATACCTTTATATATGTACATAATGCTCTGTGTGCTGAGGGAGCCATTTTCTGTTTCTGTGGGTAACCTATGCTTCACGAGAGAGACCCAAGGCCTTATTTGCCRCTCCACCTTGTCCCGCCTTCACACCGTGCTGCCCGCATGAGGCTCCTGGGCTGCTCCGGGTACAGGCGTACAAGCCCTGATGCTGCTCCGTGCCTGCCGCCCTGCCCTGCCGCAGCAGCGCCCGCCTGCCCTGCGCTCACATTGATTTATGAGGCTGTGGTCATCTAGAATCGGCTGCCACTGAGGGCGCTTGGTGCCCAGCCAGCCCTGGGAGCAGGGAAGGGCGGAACAAGCGCCAAGAAATTGCCCATAACTCCTTCCCCCATCCCTCCTGATGGGGCTCTTCTTTTAAAAGGGAAAAAAAGAAAAAAAAGAAAAAAAAAAAAAAAAAAAAAAAAAAAAAAACCTTTAAACTGTGATTTTAGGCCTTGCTGATCATAGGTGCACATCACAGCTAGCACCTGTCTCGTAGCTTTGCAGTGGGATGGCAGAAGGGATGGCTGCAGGTGCGGTTGCGGAGCGCGGCCGCAGCATGGAAGTGTCGTAGACTTTGCAAGTCCTGCTCTGCCCCTTATCTCAGTGGTTGCCCCTGCAGTCACCAACACTGAAAACTTTAAAGTGCTCTGCCAGCTTTGATCTTGTCACGCTATTAAATAGATGCCTTTTTTTTTTTTCTTTTTCCCCTTGCAATGGTGCTGTGGGGTGAGACTGTTGCCTTTGCTTTCATCTTTTTTTTTTTTTTCCCCCTTTTTTTCTTTTTTCCATGGAGCCGATCTGGAGAAGTCAAACGTATCAGTAATTTCAATCTGACATGAGTAGGCAGGGTGCATTTTTAGTTTCCTGGTCTGGCGGAATTAGTTGAGGTGATGCCATATCCTTCAGTGTATTATTTACTGTTTTGAGACGTGATTAAAAAAATATGTGCTTGGAAAAAATATGCTGGAAGTGCTGATTGCGGCCACCAAAAGCCTYCTCATTTTTGGTGCCTTATAGCAGAGTCTGTTCAGCTGGCAATGCCCCAGAGTGAAAAATTTACAGTCAAAGTGATACTTGACCTGATAGTGAGCTGCTCATAAGGCTATATAGCTGCCCACAATGACAAAATTATGCATATTTTATGTCTTCTATACATATAATGTCTCCTCTCACCCCAATTTTGCATTGTGTTTCCTCATCCCTCACATGCCATGTGCACAGCTTCAGTGTCTCCAGCTCCTTGCTGTCTCTGTCCACCCTAATATCCCCTTTCCTGCCCCCTTGTCTTTTCTTTCATGTCTCTCTGTCTCTGAGCTCATGAGTTTGCCTGGGCAAACAGTCAAATGTGCGGCAGTGTGTGCCGACAGCCAGCGTGTACACAGGTTTCCTTGGCCCCAGCTGCCGCCTTTTGAAGTACGAGAGACACTGTGTACCTTTATCTCCGCAGATGTACCCCGTGCTGGGGGTGTGTTTCTCTCCATGCTACATCCAGCATAACTGCAGATGTTTTATGTCCTTAGGTAAAGCGAGTTACTGAGATTTAAGCTGGGACACGAGAGCAACTTATGGAAACCGACTGAGCAAACTGAGTTAGGTAAAACCACAAACCAATTCATTGTCATGGAGGGATACTGAAGAGGCAAGAGACAAAAATGAACAGAAAGAAATCTGCATTGAATATTTATTTTGATAAACAATGTGTATTCCAAACAACTACGTATAATTTCAGTTGTAAGCCACAAACTTTTGGGACTACTGTCCCAAGAGCTCTTGTCATCATAAAATAGACAGTCAATGCATTACCACATTCTGCGGACATAGGGAGCTTTCAAGTGCAAAGCAGATTATCGGAAAAGACCTATTGCCGACCTCCTTAACAGCCTGGACAATGTTAAACTCCAGCAAAAAATGCTTCATATGTCTGCAATTTAGTTATCTTAGTGCCATTGTAATAAATAAATAGAATATATATCTTCTTTCATTGGGAAGTCTATAAGAAAATGTACAAAACACTATACATATAATCCGAAAAAGGACCAGCTATTTCGGCGACAGGTAAGACAAGCACTTGAACAGATGCAAAAACCAAACATCCAAACAAACAAAATCCAATCAAAAATCACTCTTACAATGGCAACTGTCTGTGTGGGCAAACGTGAGAACATATGCGGTAATAAAAACCTTACAAAGAGGATAACTGCAGCTTGTTCAGGGACTGTTAAAAGGTTGTACAAAGTAGAAGCAGTTAATTCCCTAGTCAAGATGCGCAAGTGCAAATTCTAGAACAGTCAAAGATTAAAAAGCAATCATATGGCACAGAACTATTGCTGATTGGTGTTGACTTTAGGCTAAATTCTGCCTTCAGAGTAAGMCGTTGCCTTCACCCCAGAAAGGTCCTTGGAGCCCTTTGCATTTCACAGCAGTATCTGCCCCATTGCCCTCTGCACCCTTAGCAGGCTGCAGTGATCCCACACTCAGTATTCACAGCATGAGCCCTAACTCCAAACAGGCCCCATGTGATAAGCCTTGCATGAGAGAACAAGCTACTTACTTAGAAGTTTGCTTCTTTTAATGCGATTTCTTTTTCTAGGAAAAAAAAAAAAAAAATCCTAGAGCCGAGTCTTATGATTTCACCCTGAGAATTTCAAGACTTGGGAAATTAGAAGCTACACTTCAGCACAAATGCAACACACTGAACAAGCTGGTCTAGGGGATTGCCCCACGCGGCACGATCCTCTCGGCCATCTACACAAAGAGCTGGGAAGGGGGACAGTGACGCAGCCCAACGGTGCAACCCCTGCCCCCGTGGTGCTTTGGGGAACCCCAAATCCCCTGGCAGGAATACTCTTGCTTTCCTTCATGCAGTTCAGCAATTGCTCAAGAAAGACATATGCTTGTTTTGGTCCGTCTCTTGAGAGCAAGCGTGTTGCACTGATACAGTGTGACGGGGCAATTGCATGACCAGACCTGCCTCCGGATGGTCTATACATTGAGATAACCCACACTAACATACTCCATGATTATTTTCACTGTATCTGCTAGACCTCAGGGAACTGGTTCTGTTTTGGGCATCGGATAAGCGAGGGCTGGATAACCTAGTTTGAACTTGAAGTGAAACATTTTTTTAAAATAAGTTTGTGATTTGAGGATGAAACCCACAGTCCATTATAAAACATTGGAAAAATACTTGTTTGCCTTGCATTGCCTGGTCTGGGAATGGCACAAATGCCTAAAGAATAAAAACAATTGTGCTGGAAGGACAACTCCTTCATTAAGAGGCTCTTGTTGAAAAGCATGGGAGGGAAACTTGGAATCTTTCTTTCTTTCTTCCTTTCTTTCTTTTCTTAAATACAACACACATGACATTCAGCTTGCTCAAAACAAAGATATAGTAAGACTGAAAAGAGCATTTCCAGTTTCARAACCCAGGAGAGGCTTGAGGGGCAGGTAACCTACAGCACTACCTGAATTTTGCTCATGATTGCTTTGACTTTTGGAGCAATTGTCCTAAAAATAGAAGACAGGACTTATAGAGTTTGACTTCTGTCTGGCCTTGGGAATAACACACAGCATCCTTCATTCTAGTCACAAGTTTTGGATATCAAGGGAAAAATAGACAACTTCCTTCTGCCATGTTTTAGAGTTCTTGTGACTAYGTCACCATCAGCAATCAGAACAATTTTTGTAGCAGCAGTGGCAGAGAAGGGTAAAAGAAGGAAACAACACATATTTTTGGCAATATTGACAATTCCATGTGCTTTGAAAAACTATTCTTCCTGCATTTTATCCCTCCTTAGCTTTTTTAGACTAGCCAGGCTTAGGAGATACTTTGCTAACATTTCTGAGCAACAGACAGAAACATCATCGACTACTCTATGAAGTGCTTACAAAGATTTACAAGACAATGTTCAACTTCTCAGGTTCAGGAGATGTCCCAGCAGGACACGCTCATCTGCCTTTATTAGCTAGATTTTTAGCTTTGAAGGTTATGCTTTGAAGAAGGGGGAAAGGAGATGCAAGAGAGCCCACTAGTTATGGGGGTTCCCATTCTAATTCTTCAGCTGCCTGGTAAGACCTCAAACATTCCTCTCCCAGTGGCCTGCAGCCTCATAGATCTCTTCCATGAGGCCAAAGATACTCACACCCTTAGCCTGAGGATGCTTAGGAAAGCAACACACAGCAGAGTAGTCTGCCCCTGTCCCTCTGGCCTGCCTGGAAAGGTGGAATGACCACCCTGTAGCAGGAGAAGCTGCAGCAGCCCAGTACTCCCAGCTGTAAACTGGAGACRTGGACAGGATCCTCTCTTTGGCTATAAACCCTCCAGTTTGGTCCTGAATGTTGTTGTAGGGAGGGACTACATGGGRAAGGGTGAGGAAAATGTGCTTTTTGACAGTTCTTTCCTGTTAGCCTACAGCTGCTTGTCTAAGGAAAACCCCTACCTGAAAAAACACTGTTAAAAAAACCCCAAAAAACTAAAACACAGCCCATGGGAGAACTGTTCTTTTCGAAGCAGGCAGAAAGCTGTGGTCTCATCAATCCCCACTGGTGCACTTGATTTGCTCCTCTGTCATTTCTTCCCCAACTGCATGCCATGAGTTAGCATGTACAACGCAGACAGACCTCGAGGAGCTTCATGGAAGATCTTTGAGGCCTTAGGGTAAATTCTTACTGTGCAGCCAAGTTTCCCAGCATCTGGGTAATCATTCAAATATACTCTTTTTATCTCCTATTTTCAGCCAGCCTTTGAATGGGCATTCTGTGCTTATGTGAGCAGCTAACAACACTATGGAAAAAGATTGTTATGACAATTCAGAGGCTGGGAAAAACAATAATCCTTAATGGCCTTGAGATCTAGAACTCACCCTTTGAGAGGCAGCACATAAATCAGTCTGTCACAGGGGTGCTGAAAAAGCAGCACCTTATAAAAACAGAGGGGCAAACCTTGTTTTGTAAGACAAGAGTCAGTCAACATGGTATCACTGAGCAAATCAGCAGGACAGCAGCTGATGATCACAGAACATAGGCTGGTCACAGGGGAATGCTTTTCTGTCACACGTGGCCGCTCTAGCTACTTACAGTAAGACTTTGTTTTGAAAACAACAACAACAAAATGCTACATTTCTGGAGCACTCTGGCCATGTGCCTGTTGTGAGCAGTCAGTAGTCCATCTATCAGGGCAGTGCTGGTAGCCAGAAGGCAAAGCAGTGTGTGCTCATAATTTCATTTTCTTCACCACAGGAATTGGTAGTGCTTGGTAGATCTTTGCTGAATCCTCGTCCGTGACCATTTTCACCCAGACTGGGCGGAAGCTGCCTTTGAATCCAACAAAAGCCATTTTTTCTGCAAATCAGAGCACATACATTAGGAGGGCCTCACGGTTCCAGTAAGCAGAAGTGCACCCATAGACCCACTCGGGTGGACCGATGCGGGAGGACTTGGACACATGAGTCTTTATAAGACTAATGGCCCATTATGCATCGTCCATTAAATACTTCCCTGCTGAAGTGTAATTCTAACCGTATTTGTGTGAGGCATGTTTCCCATAATTACCAGCCTCTCTGTGATCCTTAGCAGAAAAGGGAGAGGCAATGAAAAACCCTACAGAGCAGACAGTTTCAGTCATCTACTGAAACTATCATTATTTGCATGATCTTCATGCTCAGAACCCTTCCATACTTGGGAAAGGCATTAGCTAGTACAACACACACATATGCCCAAAAGCTCATAGTTAGAATTGATCAGAAAAACATTTGCAATAGAGCAATAYTCTAGTGCAGTATGTGATGCTTGAAATAGAGACACTTTGTACCATCAAGTTGGAATTTTGTTTCAGGGGAGAGCCACTAAAAATAGGCTTAAACAGTATCAAAATCATTGGACTGAGGCATTTAGGGGGAGAGAAGTCCAATAGTTCTATTATTAAACTGCCTTTTTATTTAAAAAGTCTGGAAAATCCAAAAGAACAAGAAGAACTCTTTGCTTCTAAGAACAATTGCCAGAACGCTTTTTTTCTATCTGCAGTATTAAAATGAATGCTGTTGTGCAGAGCTGGAGTGAATACATCCTTAATAAATAAGTAAATGACTGTTCCCAGGGTGTTTTGGGTGCATGCTTACAGAAAAAAAAAAAAAAAAAAAACAAGCAGGGTTTAGGAGCAGGATGAAGAGGTCCCATTACTAGGATTATGGTAAAGACATCCTTTTTTTTTTTTTTTTTTTAAATTTGTATTTTTAAAAAGTGGTTACCTTTTAACCTAAAATCTTCTTCTGCTCCAAGTTTTTCCAGTACTTTAGTCCACGGTCCTTTGGAGATGAATCTTCCTTTAGATGTCACCAGCACTACAGAGCTGAAGGAAACAGAGTCATTTATAAACACACGAAATGCTCCTCGCTTGCCAGACATCCCTGGTAACTCCTGGCTGTGTGACTCATGAACTTCAGCTTTCTGCTTTAGCAGCTTTCGACAGGGCTTTCCAAGAATTTAGTCATATGTTCACTTTTCCAATCATGCAAAACCCATTAGGAAGCAGACTGAAATTGCCTTTTCTTTCTCTTTTTTTACTTAACAGGTTTCTAGAGTGGTTTAAGTGATTCCAACCAGCAGATCCATCCCGCTTTYCTCAGAAAGAAACAAGCTCTTTCTGGGATTCTCTCAGCAACACCCCAAATAACTCTAGTTTTTGTATCATTAGCAGGATAAATGCTGAAGAAATTCAATTCCTTGAGATTTTTGCTGGCCTGACACTTTTCATGGTTTTTCACATTCTTTTGCTTGGAAAGCATATCACTATTAATATTATTATCATTACTGCCTGACTTGCATGCAGTGTATTTCAGCTCAAAACTTCTTGGGATTCTTTACAAACATGAARTGGTAATTAATGCAGTGCAAATCTATAAATCTTTGGGTAAAACCTAGCAGTCTAATTCCAAAGGTGGTGAAAAACAAAACAAAACCCAGTAATCATGAAGGGATAATCACATAGCGAGAACTGTTCAGAGAGGCCCAGGCCACTGAACGAAGTTAACCCCACTRTTTCCCACCAGATTCCCCAGCACCTCCCCTAGTTGTCTAGAAGTGTGTCAAGCAAGGAAGATGCTTCAGTGAGTCCAGCAGAAGTTTTGCTGTTAAGCTCAGTGGGGCAAGGATGTCACTCTTGCTAATTAGACCTGCATTGCAGAGTGATTGGGAAAACATTTGCTTAGATGACATCCTTTCATTCCATCTTGCAGGGCTGCCACGAGTGACACTGCCAGGGACTAGGATGTCAATTCTGCAAAATAAAAGTCTTGCTGGTTCTGCTTTCCTATATGACAGTGGCCCAAAAAAATCACGAAATTAATTAGACGACAGCTCCTGCGGAGATCAAGTGCTGAGCTACAAAGTGTGGTAGTTACATCCTAACACCTCAGCTGGATCTGAAACTGCTCAGGGAAAAACAGCAACGGATGGTGGCGAAAGAACTGAGAGTCACTAGGAGTTTTTCCTGAAATAAACTGAGGTGTTAGAATACTTCAGTTCTTACAAGAATGGATGGAGCTGGCAGTCTGGTTTTGACTACTTTGTGAATGCTGATTCACCTCCTTTTCTTTCACTTCACTAAAATCATTACTTTCTGTTAAGCCTTTCTCGCCTTGGAAATTTAAAATAATTTTGCCAGCTGTTTTGTTGTGTTAACCCAGGGAAATTCATTAGAAAAGTGGATTCATTTTTGAAAATGCAATTTGGCTTACAGAGAGTTTYTCAAATGAAATGAGAGGCTTGTCATATGGAAACATCTCTTTCCATATCTCCAGATCCATAAACCTATTTTAAAGTTGCTGTTCTAGCAAACTCTTCATGAGAGGCATGCAGAGCTGTCTGGGTGGTGGAGCCCTTTCCTCTCCACTAGCCCCATCCCTCTGTGCAGTTCGTCTGGGTCATGAGGGGGAACAGAGGTGACAAGCAGCTCCTGGCTTGCACACCCTCCAGCTGTGTGGTATCTGACTCCGAGCAACACTATTTCTCCCAGTTTTTGCCTTTCCYGGATAAAGGGATGACAGCTCTTTCATGGCTGTAGCTGAAATACTTGCCAGATTGGATAGGCCTACAGGGGAAGGGTTGGATAAGCTTTTGATGAAAGGAAAATGATCTGGAGTTTTAACCCTTGCAAACAGACACAACTGAGTGAGATCTCAGAGGTACAGATCATGCTTGATCCAGTTCCAGTCCTAATCCTAATCCAGTTCCAAAACTAATCCAAAGAGACAATCAGCAGGCTCAGATCCAAAAAAAGCTCTAGGTCCTTCTTACAGGTTCTTTACAAGGATTATGACAGACTTAAATACACCTGAAGTCTAATTATGATTCAAGCTTCCCTCTCAAAGCCTTATCACATCTTGCATTTAAACGTAGACTTCTTTTTACATTGGACACTTAAACAAGACATCTTCCTAAAACCAGCACTCAAAGGCCAGTTCTTTTCCTCCCTTTGCTCCTAGCTGAGCATCCTGGCCATTAAGCCACACAGCCCGCTTAGGAAATGCTCCTTTCTGTGTGACCCCTGCGTGCAGCAGAGGGATTAGAGATGCCTGCTTTTCAATTTTGATATAAGTACTGTTTAAGGATGCTTTGGTGCTACATTCATGYACCTTCCCACACTCAGCACTGTAGGTGTTCAGTCACTTTTCTCTTGAGACTACCAACTGATTTAAGGACCTCTGTGCTACTCTCATGCAATAAAGACCTATCCCTATCCTGCATCTGAGAAGCCACAGAGGCTGTTTCACCTAGAGAGAGGAACTGCTAAAGCACTCCAGCACTTTTAAGTGATTTAAAGGAAGAAAGAACGCGGGCAGCTGGATTCAGCCAGACTTGAGGCTGACATTCTTGCAAAGGAGGCTGATGGAGTTCTTTAAAACACCCTATAATATTCTTATGAAAGAAAAAGAAGCAACTCCCATGCTCTTCTGTACTTGACATGTATTTTTGCAACCCTTAGAATTACATAAGACAGTAGAAAGACAGCTGTATCCACCTTTGTGAAGCCCTGCTGAAACTTCTTCCAAGTTTCCACAATAAATCCTAAAACAATATTCTGTCAGTTTGCCCACAGTTACTTTAGATGATTCATCAACAGTGATCATACTTGTATTGAATGTTAGGCACCAGATTTTAAGTCAGAACAGATCTAATAACAATGAAATATATTCATTTCCCAGTGGTGCAAACCAATCTGAGAAAAGAACAGCCCCTTCAGTTAAAGGAATCCTGAGATTGTTTCCAATATTATTCCAGCAAATGAACCCGCTGTCCTCCAGGATGCAGGAACATGTGCTGGCTACTTACCACCCACTTCCAAAACTGGCTCCCCAAACTTAAAAATAAAAGCACAAAGTCCTTTATTCTTGGCAAGAAACATGTGCAAAGAACATGTACTTTATTAGTGGAATCTTTGGAGATTTGAGAGCGTGTGCAGGCAGTAGAAAAATGTAAACTGTGCACATCTGTACACTGGAAACTGATAAATGCCATGAGTTTATTCAGGAATTTAAGCCTGCACTTTATCTGTAATCCACTACATAAATATAGATCTACAGTTTATTAATCAAACATAGACCTGCAGTTTATCCAGGGCTTGATCAGTTCCTAAATCACACACTGTACATTCTTACACTGCCTGCATGGTCTGGTCACCCTTGGACACTACTGCAGTTAGCAGGTATAAACCACATTCTTTTCCCACTCAGCCTGGCCCATAGTGACTAAAATCTGGAAAAAGATGAGTTTTGCACAGCTTTTTTGTGTATTATGTGTTAGAAACACTAGATTATTTACTCACTGATCTTTGATGCTGTTGACATAATTTTCTATTTGTGCTGGAATTCCTTGCAGAATTGAGTTCTTGAAGGTTACTCGATCAACAACTTTTCCATGATATCCATCAATCACAATCAGTTGAATACCCTCCTCAGTCAGGAAAAACCTAATACCATCAACCTGTGTAGGAGGAAAAATAAACTTGGTCTGTCAAAGCAACACAAATACAAAACAATCAACTATAAGAAGCACTAACAGTGTTGAATAATACCGGACTGTGCTTTATATGAAAGGGCAGAATTCCAGCTCTCTGAGGTCAAACTGTGCTATGTTTTTGCTAGTACGGTGAAGTTACGGCCATATTTTTTTTGCAAAATACAAAGCAAAAGAGACTCAACGCTAATCATCCAGGGTAACTTTGTAAGTTTTCCATAAAAATGGATATTATCTCATAAATCTTACATAGTTTATTGAGAGGCCTTGCTTACCTCGATGTGTGCAAAGTCATCCTTTAGGTGGAAGTATTGTTTCTTATAAGTTTCTATTTTCACTTCTAGTAAGTGGTCCTTAGCTTTCTGTTTCCAAAAAAAAAAAAAGAAGAGAAGATGGTTTCTAGTGAGGCTGTCCATTACCTGAGGGGTACTCTGTCAGTCTTTAAACCTAGAAATTCTATCAGCAAGAAAGCTACCTAACAAGCTGTGACTTGCCAGATTGCACTGCTAATGAGCCTGGGCACAATGGTAACCTCTCTGGTTAGCCTGTTAGCTAACTAATGTAAGTTAGCATTTAAATTGTTTCACAGAACGGCAAAGCCTGAGTGAGGCTGCAGTTGACATACTTCACTGAGGCTTTTCTCTGCATTCCTGCATCAGGGGTGATGCAAAGGAAGTCAACAAGTAAGCAAGCAAACAACAACAATAAGAAGATCCTTTTCTTCCCTAGAACCAGAATAGGTCAGATCCAGGAGAAAAAGTGCTGTGCAAAATCCTTGATAAGAGTGATACACCCAGCTATGCAGTCTCCTGTTTGACACTGCTGTTCTKACAGACTGCAGGAGCTGGAGGTCAGGTAAGAGGCCTTATGTCTGTCCAGATACAGATTCCCTGGACCAACATGTCCTTCAGCTCATCATTCTTGATGCTGCACTTCTAAACTCAACACTTCACAAGAGAGCTCTGAAAGACTAAGTATTTAGCTTCAACTGAAATCTTGGTCAGGTCTGTCTCTTGAGGACCTGTGCTTTCTGCACTTGCAAGGATCTGTTTCACATTGTTTTACATGCCTGGACTGTTTCAGAAAATTGGGCACAGAGGATACTGAATCTGGTACAAAGTCTTTCTGTGACTAGGGGAACAGCGTGTACCAGAACCACAGACTTAAAGCACAATAATGCCACAATAATAAATCAATGACTTTACCAGTTGTGCACTAGAGAGCTTCYTAGGCATTGGGACTTCTACAATCGGCGTCTCGATGTATTTGGGATAGGCCATGGCTTCACAGTCACTGACACCAGCRGTCTTTGGAATCACAGCTTTGATTCTTATTCGTTCACAGCCTTTGACAGAGCAGAAAGCAAATTTCTCCTTCTCGTTTTGAGCTTTAAGTTTCAGAAACAGCAGTCTGCAGGTAGGGGAAAAAAGTGAACATCCCTGAGTGTTCCACTCAGACCAAATGACTTAGTCCTGGTCTCAGAGGACTGTTTCTTGACACCTTGCAGTAATGTGTGTGACAAATCCCTAGTGCTGATGCCAGTTATTTGTGCTGCTTAACACAMGCCAGGCAAGTGCAGGAGCACACATCTCAGGAATGTTTGGGAAGGTCAGGCAACTTGAGACAGGGAGATTAGACAACACTGAACTCCAGTTAGAGCTCTTTTGCATCACAGTACATTTACACAGATACCTGCCTTGTATTTTAGAACTTTTTTCCCCTTATTTTAATTCTTCAGAGAAAACTAACACACTTCACTCTCACAGTTCTGTGGATTCCTGCCTTGCTGCTTAAAAATGGTGCTGTTCATAACAAAAAGGGCTGGGTGTGCCTCCACTTCAGCTTCATGCTCCATGATCTGCACTTTGCTTTTGTTTTCTTCCTTATTTGTATTCATTTGGCATAGCATTTCCCAGAGTAATTGGCAGTGCAGCAGAGCCTATGAATGACTGGCAGCTGTGGGAGTCTCAGGAAAATTAAATGCTGAGCACATTCTCAGAAGGAATCTCTGCCTTTTTTTTTATCCTCTTTAATGGCATAAACTAAACGTTTCATGATTCCAACAGCTTTCTCATATCAATGTCCAAATCAGCAAGGCCTATTTCCTTACCCAGTGTCCTCATCCCAGTAGTAATATCCTTTGCTGGGATGTCTGTGCTCCAGTTTCTCCATCTGAAAGGTTCTATAAAAGGTTCCAGTTTTGTATGTTTTCTTCAAAAGACGATTATGGATGTCTGAGAGAATGGAAAATGTCGTCCCTTTAGGATAACAAAACCCTACTTGGATCCAGTCATTCCTAAAATAGCAAAGATCCATATTAGAATAAGTTGACACATGACTATTATTTTCCCGGGCATGCTAGAAGCCAAACTAAATAATTCACTCCGTAACTTATTTTTTTCCTGGCTGGTTAAAGTTTTAATGGTTTGGGACGAATCARTGCAACCTAAGTTAGGCATAATATCCATGGGTTAAGCGAAGTGACGTTTGTCAAATCAGCTCCTGATTTCTACACGCTTGACTTCCACGTACCCACAATGAACTAGCTCTAGCTTATCTTCCAGGGCTTCTCTGGGAAAGAAAGAGGAATCTGAGAGGTCAGATGGAAAAATTCTGCACTCAATGTACTTCATGAACAAACTATGTTAATTCTGGAAGAGCTCACAAAGTGACAACCTCACCAGTTAAAAATGTTTACTTGCACTAGTAGGGGTGGAATGTCCTGTTCCTTCAACACTCACTTGTTGAAGTTGATAAGCCATATGGCCAGTTCTTCGGGAGCTGTCTTGTCCCAGTGGATGGTGTAGCCTTTCCTCAGAGTTATAACGGGCTGATACTGCTGGTAATGAGTGCTTTTGCTCAAAGCCCCTTCCAAATACAGTGGTCGGTTGTGGTAGTCATTTTTTATTATTTTCATTTTCAGGTTGGCTGGCTTGTAGGCTTGGATGTAGATCTAGAATAAAAAAGAGATYACATATGATTTAATGACTTACAGTAAAATATTAAATGCCCAGCTACTCAACAGGTATGAATTAGTATGAGATCTCTGACTTCAGCARTGTATATGTGTGTAACATGACACATATGACAGACAGGAGTCTGGCCATATACTTATAMCTGCATATTCAGTTTCTTAATATTGTTTTCCAACAAGGTAAGGTGTTTCCAGGAAAAAAAAAAAAAGGACCATCTCCTCATCCAGTGAGTTCAAGAACATGTGACAGTTAAGACCTCAAAATAGGCCTACAATATTTCGCAGTGTTGGTGGCAACCCCCACTAGAGGGACAAAATCTACCTCAGACATCTGCCTCCTGCATAAACATGGGACTTCCTGCCGTGATTTCAGAAGTAGGAAAACCAGCTCAGTGGTTTGCTGGCTTCAGTTGTACTATTCTGAAAAATAGCACATGCAGCCCCCTGGGACAAAAAAAAAGGCACTACTCATCAGGCAGAAGTAAAGACTTTCTCAAGGCAGCGGCACTAGGCATTCATGTGGTAGGAATAATGGTTTGGTGGTTAAACAGAAGGATGAAAGATCACGAGAACAGAAGTTTGATTTTGACTCCTCAGCATACTTCCTATAACACTGTTGCCAACACTTCTTTCCATAAAATGAGGGAAAATTGTACTGCCCAACCCTACAGCCTGTAGAATTATATTAATTTGCTAATGCTCATAGAGTTTTTAGAGGTCTTTCCTGAAGCTGTTGCAGATTTTAACAGTCCAGGCCAAAATATCTGAAAATGTACAACAGTATCTAGGGGCAACCTCTATGTTCAAAATTGTGGGTACAGAGACATGCAGTTAAACCATGACCATCCCCCCAAAAAAGAGAACACTTTTCTGCAGTTAAGCTATCAAACTTAACAGTGCCAAGATAAGTATTAAGCAATGACAGTACTGAAAGGTAAGCAGCATTACCTGTGCATAGTGTCCACTGCAGATRGACCCTCTCCAGTCAGGCACATCAATGCAATCGGGGTGTTTGATTAACCAGTTATCTTCCTTTATGAGGTATGAGCCTGGGTATTCAGACACAGAACCATCCACATCATGAAAAACCGATGTTTTATCACCATCCATATTCAGATCATTGAACCACGGTCCAGGTTCTCCAAAGAAGACCCTTGATGTAATCTAAACAAAACAGTGAAACACGTTTKCATCTCCAACAAGGAATTCATCACTTATGGTACAATGCAAAAGATAACTACAGTCATAAGAAATTCTTCCAAGGACCTCTTTTTTTTTTTTTTTTTTATGTTCTTTCGCGTTGGAGAGTATGTTGGCCAAGAAGTGGCATTTGATTTGTGTGTTCAACTTGTGCATGAAGAAATCTGTGCATGTATTAATATAATCCTTCTTTAAATGCCACAGATCTTGCTTGCTCAGCTTGAGACATTGTAGGCCGTGTTCAAAGGCTTTGAGATCCCATGACTCCAGATGAAGTCAGGAGGGCTTTGAGTGCTTTGAAATAGCACTTACATGATAATAAAACTATGAGTTTCTGAAAGTGTGCATCAAAAGACAGATGCACCAAAACATCTTCAACAGTTAGTCTTGTCAGCTGATAGGAACATCAGTCAGGAATATGGTACAGGAATATTAAAATTGTCTCTCCTTTGTCTGTACACTACCTCTTCATAAAGCTGGAAGTCAACGTAGAGTTGGGTCATGCCCTTAAAAAGTCTGATTTGTCTGACTGAGCAGACAGATTTTCCTGCTGAGCATGAGGGAAAGGTTCAAAACACAAGGATTTCAGCCTCAGCTGTGAGAGGCTTCTTTTAAAATTCTGGAGAAAGGTTCAGGAGACAAGTCTATTTCATTAAAACCACTTCACTCAATGTCAGTTAATATATTTTTAAGGTTGCAAAGCCACATAAAGTCATACTGTTGCTGGGAACAATCAATGACATCCCCTGGGAAATGGCTGCTCAGGCAACTTCTGAATGATATTTTTATCCAGTGAAAATAAAAGTCATGTCACCAGCCTGCCTGATGCAATGTGAGAGAGTGACTGACAACACTTCTAGGGAAATATTGCCTTTCCCATTCTATTTGGTACAAGGATTGCTAGTCAGCATTTTTCCTCACATAGAAGAAAGTCTGCTAACTTTTTAACTTAAGCAACACAAATCATTTCAGTCCCAACCACTTTATTTGTTTGTCATGCTTGGCTGTTGGATTTAACAACAGCTAGAGGTGAACCTCAGCAAATAGTTAGCACATATTTGTGCAAGAAAATCCCCAAATAACTCAAACGCAAAGACCCCAGGATGGGTTCAGACAAGTATCCAGAAGTTTCTATTATAATTCAAAATCTGRCAGATTCTTTTCAGCTGGGTTCTGCTCTTATTTATGTCTGTAGAAGTGAAGTATTACCCACAGAATTACCATTGTGAAGGACGGCAGAATTACCAGCATTTGTTCAGTTTCAGTGACTGTTTCCCCAAATCAGTATTTTCTGCTTCTATTTGGGTTAGGCCTCCCACAACAGACATTTCTGTGTTGCCACTTCCATATCATGCTCCTGTTGAACGAGATTCTTCTCCTTATTTCAACAATTTTTGAGAGACAAAAATTGAAACAATTTGGACTTCGATGGATTTTGAAACTAAAGCCTGCTTCTGGCTTGCTGCAAACCTGTCAGACATTTGGATTTGCTTATTATTTCATCCATCCAATTTTATCTTTCTTAGCTAAAGCCCTCATCACTCAACTGGCGAAGACAACGGTCTCCTACTGCTTAGCTCTGTTTTTTTTCCAGGAGGCTCCTATACCCTTTTCACACAGCACCATGCTCAAAACCAAATGACAAAAGCCTTGCTGTGAAGAATTACTCACAGGGACGTCTTCAAAATGAATGTTGGTGACGTTGTTGTTGGGGCAGCTCTGCCAGGCATTATTGAGCCGGAACGCCAGAGCACTTGTGTGCCTGCCGTCCAGGGCAGCGAATTTGCGGAACGTGCAGTTCTGGACGTTGATTGGTCCATCATAGAATTGAATTCCTCGAATGGGAAAATTCCTAAAAACATTGGGATGACACAGAGACTTGGTCATGACTCATTAGCATGAGGTTGAGAATTTCTTCTAGACAGTCCAGAAACAGTCCCGTAGAATTTGATTCTCATCTGCTATAATTTTTCTCAGCCCTTAGGATGACTCTTGAGTTAATCTTTTGGAAAAGGAGGGATTTCCCTTCCTTTTAGGTGTATGAAATCCTCTTATTCTAGTGAGTTCAGTTCAAGTTCTCTTGTGTCTGAAAAGATCATCTTTATTCAGTCTGTACTCCCCGAGAGAAGAAACTTATAGCAATGCCAAGGCATTGACCTAAAAATGAACAAATTCATGCTTGCCATCACAAATGAGTTCTGCAGCAGTGAAACCTGAACCTCACCMGATCTGCACAGACTCCTAGAGCTGAGTAATGGCAGGGCTAAAAGAGGTCCCAGCACATCTTCCAAATGAACTTGGAGAGAAGCAGTGCAACTAATCTGCAATAAAAATGGATGCAAAACCAAGGAAAGATTTTGCAATCCACTGTATGGAAAACAGTTGAAGGGGGACAGGTCAGTGAACCTTTTTTTTGTGTGTTATTTGCAAAATAAAGACATCTGTACTTCTGACACTTTTGACACATTAAATGAACACAATGCTTAAAMGTCTTTACAGACTAATATGGAATGTTTCAAATTTCACCTACAATCAATCAGAGGCTCATCCTTTCCTCATACAAATGGTTTCCCCTAGACAAGAGTTATCTGTGTTGGTCTTTTTGAGCTTCTGTATGGAACATACGTAGCTACCCACATAGATACACATAATGGATATTAGAAGGAAAATCCTAGCTCATCCTTCCATTAGTGGGATGGTTAACAGGCTTCCTGCATCAAGAAGCAAAGCTGATGAGTGTAATTCTACAGAAAAATATCAGTTGCACYTTCTGTTTAATGTAGGGCTACTGTTAGGATAACCCTGCTTTTACGGATAACAACAGATCATTACTGCACTTGCAGACCAATCTGTAGGACTGCGGTCTAGGACGAGCACCCACAGAAGGTTCACTGGCTGTATCTAAACTATTTAGCAAAGGCATTGAATTCTTCCAGCACAGAAGCAACAGTAGGAATCACTCTAAGGGCTCCTAACACCACTCCTGGGTCAGCCCAAACCCAGGGTACGGCTTCCACAAGATTTTCTGGCAGCTGATCTGGATGGAGATTGCTGCCTTAGTCACTGCTGACAACATGTATAAAATTGCCCAGCTAGAACATACTTCTTTTGCTGGCTTATGAACATGGTTTGCAAATGGGAGGAGAAAGGAAAGAAGAGTCTAACACTGTGTTGGCAGACTACAAATATATATCTGCCAGCAGTGGCTGCGCAGCAAGGACTTTGGGAGTGSGAGATGTAAAACCAAAACTTTTGTGTGTAGTTGTTATTAAACAGAACAGCTCTGAGGAAACCACCACCCTGGGCTGAAGTCTGAACTGAGTAGAAACAGTGAGTGCTGTGGTATGTTGAGCTGGACTTACGGGCCGATGGGCAAGGTCCTTCCTCTGTGATCCAGGCCTCCAGGTCCCCAGATCTCATTGTCCATAGTCTCTGTGCCCAAGTTTCCACTCTCACCAACAAACAAGCTGTTCTTGATTTCTTGCTTTGAGCCATCATCGTGAGGGAAGGTTCCACCACTGGGAGGGAAAGGGTTGGAAGTGAATGGGCTGCTCACACCATGCCCAGCTGGCGTGTACGGGCTTGCAGGASAACCGCGCGTGCCACTTACCTTGCCAAGGTCAGGCCAATGCCATTGTCAGCAAACCTGCAAAAAGAAGAGAAAAGTGGATTTTTTAATCATCTCCAGATAGAGCAACCAATGTAATAATGTGGACAGCATCAGGGCTTAATTAAAAAGACTTCTCATGAGGCAACTCAGGCTTTTGTAGATGTGTTTCTGTACAGCTTCGGAAGATCCTTTTTGGCAGATCTTGCAGCATGAATCATAAGAAGCCGCAGTCATGCTCTTGCTTGATAGCTCCCAGTTGAGGATAAGTCTGGATTACTGGGCACAGTTCACTTTCTTGAAAAAGCCTTTTCTCTGTATCTAATGTTAATGCTCTTTTCACTGTTAGGTGAAAAGATAATGCTTATCTCTCACTCCAACTGCCTTCTTTTATTTCATTACGCTTGGCCCTATGCACATCTTTTTATGATTCCCTGTGTTTATGTATCATACGCTACTACTACCATGAAATCATTGCACAAGTGGCAGGGTTACATAAGCATTTGAGTCTGGCTTCTTTTTTACCATCAGGAAGATGGATGTCAGATATTCCTTACTTTGGTAAAAAAAAAAAAAAGATTAAAATGTCCTCCAGTTTTGTTGAAATTYCAAAGCTTTTACTGGAGGCAAACCACAAATGCAGATCCAATTTATGTATATATATGCTGATCCAACTCTGACTTGCAGGAAAGCTTGAATTAATATGATAGTTTGTGCCAGTTTGATGGTATTTGCACAGCAGTGTCATTCTTACATTTCTGGAACTGCCCTTTCCTGCACAGCAAAAACCTCATTGTTGAGCCAGACGGAGAACACCTAACCCTGCTTGTCCTGCTTCTGTCTCTAGGTGGCAGCCCCATTACACACTATGTTATTTCTTCTCGTTTCTCCAGCCCCATAAACGCWCAGTGTGCTTTATATCCTGCATATGACATGAACATTTGTTTTGGTAATGTAATACATCAGCCTTACTGCAGCAGCAGAAATGGAAATCACTGTGGCTATAAAAACAATTACARATTGATGGCTGCTTCCTCAAATTCAGATACACTTCAGGTTTACTGCTAGAAACTGATAAAACAGAGTACTCAGAGTACTCAGTATTTTAGCAGCCTTGGTCCACCAGCAGCACAGATGTCTCCATGCCATGCGACTGAGCTGCAGGAGCCGCGCTTGGTGCCTGTGGAATRCCAGACATTTCTGGTTCAGAAGTTCACAGGCAGCATAAACAGAAAGCTGACTTGGTGTTACGTTTCTGGCCCTTTCGTGACGTTCTCATTCTTGCCAACCTCACAGGTTGCTAAAACCAGCTTCTAGCCAGTGGCTGCTGTAAGAGGCTTGGCTCATCAGCTTTGGCCCACAATTGGACGCTCTGTGGTGGTGTGATAGACATTCATACTAGCRTTATCACAACATGCCTTGTAAAGTAGCTTTTCCCTTTCTTTCCTCTTCTTTCTTCAGGGTTGATATCAGTAGTCTGGCTCAGGGAAAGAAACTGTAGATCAACTGTTTCCAAGTGCAAAGCAAATACCTGTTCTGACCAGCACAGGAAGCAGCCCTCAAAGAGTGCACAATATGCTCTTGCCCAGCTTCCCTCCCTTGCTGCTGGGATGCATAGTTTTATGTCTGCTTCGTCAGGACTAGCTTATTCAGCACAACAGTGAACCACATAAAATTGATCTGTGACCAGGCTTAGCTATGGCAGGTGGTTGATTTTGCTGCTTTCTTTTTAAAGCACCTCATTTTTCATGTAAAAACTATTTAGGTATTTGCACATGTGTGTGCATGTGTGTTGCGAACTTTGAATGCTGGTCAGAGTTACATGGAAAAACAGTATGAGGGATCTTTGGTTCAGTCAAAACAGGTTTCGTGTAAAACAATTCCTATGCTCGCTTAATGTTTCATCTTGACTGGAATCTTGTCCATTTGAAAGGTGCAAAGTCATATTAATAGTCTGACCCACTGCTATGCCTGCCATGAACACCAGGCTGAACTGGTAGAGTTGAAATAAGGCGAAACTCACTGGCAGTTGTCCAGCCACACATCTCCACCCCGCAGCCAGGCCCCGTGATCCTGGTTCTTGTAGGCAATAAAGCGTTCAATTATTGCAGGTTCCCTGGGCTTCAAAGGATCAGCATCCTTGTGTGGGCTGTATCTGCAAGCAGAAGAGGAGAAGAAACTGTTGGTGAAGGAAGGCAACCACGCTCAGTGCACAGCCCTGCTCCACAGCCCCTTGTTAAATGTCTGGTTTCTGCTCACTCGGGAGCAGCTCAAGCTGCCCATCTAGTCATGATGGTCTAGACAAGAGCCCATCTAGTTAGGTACGTGGGGAGCAACGGCCAGACACAAGGGCCAAGGAAAGGACGGGCCAGGCCGGGTAGCCTGTGAAAGACTCGCTCCAAGTCTCCTTTCGCCTTTCCGTTATTGTATTGCTGACAAATTGCTGAGCGCATGGGAAGTTTATATTGCTCCCAAAACACTGGGATATTTTTTTAATCCTTTGTTGTTATCCTTCGGCATATTCTTGTTTTCTAGACAAATATCCTTTCATTTCTTTTTTTCCCTTTTCAGCATTCTTAGCCTTTATCCTTGGCTGTATTGTGGCAATGAGCTTCACTAGCAAATTTTATTCCTCCTTCACTATTCCTGCTACACATTGCCCAGGACACACACATGAGATTTATTAGCTCTGAAGCTCTCAAATGTGATGAAACATTGGCGTGATGAAGGGAAAAGGCAGCTAGGAATGGAAGCTACCAGAGAGCGATCCCCCAGCTACTGCCCGTCAGCCACCGGTGACAGGACCGGTGACAGGACCTCAGTGAGGACCTGGTGCTCCGGCTGAATGGGGCATTTCCTCAGTCCTGAGGGGTAGCTCTCCCTTTCACTACTGAAGGAGCATCTTAAATCCACACAACACAGCTTAGARAACCTGACAAATGAGTATCCAACTCATTGCCAGCAACCGATGGTCCAGAGATTAAAATTCATTCCTAACAAATGGATAGTGAGGCCAAGCTGTCAAATTGCTAACAGATATTCAATAGCATTTTGCTACGCTTAATAAACCATCATATCAATATAAAACTGAGCATCAGGCTGATAGTGTTCCAGTAAATGAATATTGCTTTGGCAACTTCATCAGGATGAATCTGCTTCTAGTGAGAGATTTAGGATCAGCCCTCGTGAATTCTGCAGATACTGTTAAATACAGATAAGACGGATTCCAGATTCAGTCACACACACGTAAACCTGGAGAAACGCTACAGGGTGCAGAATATAGCCCAGGTATTTAACCCTATAACTGAATGCAGAATAATCTCACCAGCTTCGTAGCTGTCCAGCCTTCCTCAAAGTCTGCCCTGGCCAGGGCAGCTATTCACTGTTCCATTCCAGACATGTGAAAAGCGCACAGTGGTATAAATAATCTGAGCTGCAACCTGCAGGGTAATCGCCAAGCATAAACATGACTGTATTATAAATTGCTTAGCTTCCAGGGGTCATTCCTGTCCTTGTATGGCAAGACATAAATGCCTTTCGTAATCACTTACTGTGCCTATGGCAGGAGGCAGTTACCCAAAGCGCACGTTCAGCTATATGGAAAAGTGGCATTGGGTTCCCAAGAGCATTTGGAGGTACTGGCAGAGCAGGCTTCTCATAATAATTTAATTTCTTATCAATTGCTTTTATTATTTTACTGTAGATTTTTACTATTGAATTAATTTTTATATTTATTAAAACAGTAGAATAATATGAATAATATAGACTTTTGACRGCCTGTTAGCATCAGCAATGAAGCTGGGCACCTGGGTGGTGTGTATTGCAGGAGAAAGGGCACTAGTGACACCTAAAGGCTGGCTGCGTTCCCCTGGGCAGGAGGACATCCCACCAGTGCAGTGTCCCCCCAGTGTGTGACTGCAGCCAGGTGGGTAAGCAGAGCCCCAGGGATGTAAGGGGGGAAAAGGAAGAATAGGCAGCGGTCCCCTCCTCCTGCACAGACATCTACAACACATTGCTGCTCCTTACAGGGCTATGTCCCAAAAGCAATGCAGGGACAATGCAGATGGGATGTCACTGAAGATAACTGGCCTATTAGGAATGAAAACTGTGAAACCTGAGAATGTTTAAATCATTTTCTCTCCCTGGGATCAGTATCTTAGCTAACAAGCAGACTCAGCCTCTAATGAGATAAAAGGGTACAAGTGGAGCCCTTATGCTATTCAACTTGCCTGCAAGAAGGCCTTTTGCTTACATCAGCCTGCTCTCTGAAGTCAGCATCAGCGGTGTGGGAAGCAGAGTGGGAATTCTCGGGAGCCACCGAGCTGATACATTAATATAATACACTAATGTGATACACTCTGGAGAGTAGTTTTTAGTATTTCTGAACGGTTCTGTTATGTTGCACAGAGGCCCTGCATGTCTGTGGGGATGAAGGGCTGCTCTAAGCATTCAATCACAGTTGTAATTATTCTTACAGCATCAGATTTTGGAACTAGGCAGAAATCAGGCATTAAAGTGTAAGCTCCATCATAAAGCATTCCCTGTCCAAGCAGGTCCTGAAAAAATGAAGAAGCTGTACAGTTATCCCAAGAAGTATTTAATTTCCTATTCCTGAGAAACTCTTGCAACAAGTCCTGCCCAGCAGGGTTGCTGACCAGACTTTTAATTTTCTTGCTCATCTACAAAGGAATTAATAGACCACCCTCGATCAGATATAATATCCATGACAGCTCAGAACTAAAAACCAAGGATGAAAATATAAAAGCGTGGGTGCTAGAAATCCTTTAGGATAAGAAATACAGAAGGCACAAGGTTAGAAAGCGATAAATCTAAGTGAAGACCTTTCTCCACTGAGAGCTTGCTATGGTCCCACCACAGAGACATTGCAATGATTCTCATCAGCTTCCATGGGAGCAACTTCATAGCTTTCAGTCATTGCTATAGAGAATTATTTTTTCTCAAGAAAATTGTGCAAAACACTTTACCTCCCAGAAATCAGAGTCAAAATAGGTCTTTTATCCTTGGCTGAGGCTGGAGTAGTTTTAACACCATTATCAATTATCATCCCAGCCTAGAAGAAAAGAGAAATGTAATGTTAGAGTATTTATATATGATACAGTTCTTTCCATTTCCAGTTGCTTCACATTCCAGTCACTCACAYTGTCCTAAAAACTGCTTCTGTTACCAACATGTAAAACTACAGGCTGCCCATACTGCCACAGCATAATCCCCCTGCCCATCCACACTGCCTCAGATTTCCCCAAACTGCACCTTTCTGATAGCTCTGCTTTTTCACATACACATAAACAGCTTGCAGCAGTCCATAGCACTGGGTAACAGATGCAAGCACAAGTTCTCCCCAGCCAGCCCCACAACGTGGCACACCAAGGAAAAATAAGTAAAGAGCTGGAGAAGGTGATTAGGCAGCTTGGCCCTCACTTATCCCCCTGGAAGTCATTCAGTTAATTGCGAACATTGGCAGTTGAGGTCTGTAATTAGACACGCTGCCAACAGATGCTACTGGGGCACTATTTCAGGAAAGCAGAGGCAAAGAAACAACCAAATGAAGAGAAGAGCCTATCTCRGTGCCCGTAAGTCCGGGACTGGCTCCCGATGTTTCTGCGCCAGATACTGGCTGCTCTGTTCACAGACACAAATGAACTTGCAGGAACTCTGGGTGAAACAGAAAGCCCAGGCACTAATTGCTTGCAGATAGAAAAAGCTGGAGCAAGAGGAGAGTGGTTTTTGGAGAGAAACATTGCCGTTGCGTGCAGGCTYACCCGGTAGTTGGAGTGCGCGCGGTTGTTGGCGAACGTCCCCATCGGAATGTGCTCCGAGTAGCCAGGCGAGTACATGCCAGCCGAGGGCCCTGTGGGCACGTGGTGCAGGACGAACCAAAAGCCTGTTTCCTGGGAGAAAAAAAGAAACATTTGAGCCTTCGCTTGAACCTCAGCAGTTTATGTGAGCCAAGGGACTTATCAGTGAGTACACAAAGCAAAAGCCAAATGATTTCAGGTCAAAACACAGCTAGCAGCATTGACCTGTATGGTCATGCAGTGGAAAGGGGAGCACGCGTGCACATGATGCACAGACCTGACCAGTGTTTTCAAGATGCTTTAAGTTAAAGTCAAACATCTATATTGGAGCTGTAAGCAAGCCTTTCAAAAACCATAGCGTAGACATACACTGATGTCCTCCTATCGCTGATTTGGAAAGACTCTTTGTTTAAGGCTTGGTTTGCTTGTTTATTTGTCTTAGCAGAAAAATAAAAGCTCCTAATGTGACCAAGGATTCCTGTGGAATTAGCATTAGTGCTGATTGATTGACATTTCAGAGCACCATTACTGTACTGCAATCAACAGAATCATTGCCAAAGACTTCGCTGAGACTATGCAGTCAAATTGATTTAATTCATTCAGGCTGCGCCCTGTGTAAAGATAGAATTTTTGTTAAAGCAGGCCAGCTCTAGAAACAGCAAGTGACAGGAAGTTCAGAGCAGAAGGAAAAGTATTATTTTTTATTGGCAGCATGGGCTACGTTAACATGTGTCTTGATCTGGGACTTTCAAAAATGCTTGAGCAACAGAAGCAAGTTTTATTCCAGTAAGAATCTCAGCCTTGCAGGGCTGTTACAGTTCTCATTTTTTACCAATTAAGAAATTTCTGCACTCACTTCAGATCCTGCAGCTGCACAGTTGATAAGGTTGTTGTGTGGGTTGGCTATCCAGAAGGTGGATACAGCACTGCAGATCAGAAAAACAAAACAAAACACAAAAAATGACATGAAAATGACACCTAGAGCACACACAGAGGGGTCCATGTTCAATCTCATGAGGCACGAACAGGTATGATAACTCCTCAGATAAGGGGTTCTCCCTCAGGGGAAAGGGACTGCTTCTTTTCTCTCTCCTCTCACACCACATTTGTCCTCTATAGTTGACAGAGAACATAGTCTTATCTTTTAAAACCCCAGGTATTAAATAAGGAATTTCTACTGCAATTCSAAGCCTGTTATGAAGCTGTCAGACATCAATTATATTTTATGATAAGGTAAATATGTWGTTGCACAAGCTACAGAAAACAACCTTGTCCCCAAATAAGCCCTCAGGTTCATTAGAGACTTGTTTAATCAAGGGACCTCATGAATTGTCTTCAAGGGCTTTCCAAGCATACCCTGGCAGCTGCCTTTTCCAGGGGCTGCTGTGATTCATTACCTTCGTTTGCTTCCACCCCTATGCTTTTTTTTTTTTTTTTTTTTTCCAGGACAAAAAGGCTCCATTTGCCTAATGCACATAAAAGACACTCAACTGAAAGACTCACACGAAGGAAGAGTGATGAATCCATCATTGTCCATCCTGGGACATACAGTATTCATTAACTGACGGGCACATGAACTTTCAGGGGAAAATATTCAGTGCTGAAAAATGGCAGGCTTGCTCCCTAAATCTTGTGGCTGAGATGTGCCTTCCTGTCAGAGATGAACCTATCCAACCCTTATGCCTATTTTAAACGCTCTCCAAAGGACTTCCTGGGGGGTCTTAGGCAAGGGTCTTGAACCCGTCATGTCTCCACAGTGTCCCGCAATCCGGTCCACGCTCATTCCTCAGAGTCCTCTGCACTGGACCAGTTCCCGTGTCATTTGGCACAACCCTGTTTCTCCTTGTCAGCCCTTGAATTCTTTTATAAAGACAGACAGAGCACGTCCAAGTCGTCTAAGACTTTTTCAGAATACCTCTGCAGATCACTCATACCACTTTTTCTTATTGCAGTCTTCAGAATGATACAAAATGTGACCTCTGACTATTAAATGAATTATCGGTGGAAAATGAGCGCAATGGCTGATTAACTTGTATTTTATGAATGGAGACATGAAGTGTAATTTATAAACAAACACAGATGTGAAAAAGAGCATTGCATGAATTTCACCTTTTCCTTGCCAAAGTAAAAGCTAAAAATATGTTTCTTTGGACAAAACCCCAGTTTATTCAGAGGACAGAATGGGTGATATTGATAGTCTCAACAGACTCAGTTCATTGCCAAATAGAAGAAACCYTTAAAGATTTGTAGTTGTTAGCATCAACCAGTTTCTATCTGTCTCATCTTTAAGATGGAAGTCTGATTCCAGAAACTCTCTCATTGACATYTGTTGGTCAGAAATGAAGCTTTTATGGAGTAGATTTTTCCCCCTCCAACTATAACACTGTTAAATCAGAGAAAAGAAATGCAGCKTGTGGACAGAAGGAGTGTTCTTTTCACCCAGCATCTTTAATGTAGCCCCACTGCTCTTTGGCCTCAAGACAAACTCCACCATGGAAGCTCCCCTATATGCATATAGTCATGTGAAAATGATAAACAACCATGGGATATTCAGAAAGACTCTTTTGGAGGATTTCACAATATATGGCTGGGAGTCTATCATCATTGTACCTAAGTCTAGGATGAGTCAGTCGCAGAAAGAGCCATTGAGCCAGAAAACTAATTAGCTACCTCATGTGCAACAAAATGGATGGGTTCCCTGAGTAGTCAATAATTACCATATTCCTATAGGTTGTGTTCCCTGATTTTAGGAAAAAAATAGCTGAAAAAAATCAGGAAAAGGAGGGCTAGAATGTTTTATGTCAGGACCAACTATTGCTACAATATTTCTGACTTGCATTTCTATAACCTGTTCCTAAAAACTAATGCTGATGAAGAACCCCTGACTTGCTCTGAGAAGGAATTCTAACATTTAACTAAGCAGTCAAGTTGGTCATGTTTTTCTTTTACTTCACAAGGCAACAGAACTGTAAAAGCAACTTGTGAAATCCCTTCTCATCACAAATGCTTCTGTAATCCTCATCTAAACCTCAGTTGGCAGCTCTGAAAAGATACATAAGAGGAAGGGATCTTGCAAGAGGTAAGATGAAAGGCAATCAGCATTTTTCAAGGTTTAATACAGAGTTTGTTGTGTATCGAAGTTTTGGAAAGTTCCCATCAAAGCATTTTCATGTGCTTGTGTATAGATAACCTATTAGAGGTCCTACAGACATATACAGTCTTTGATCTTTTATTACCAAATTCTAATTCTGTGATAAACTGAAACATTTAGTATAACCATTTGAGTTTCATTACACAGCATAGGTAAACGGTGCCAAATGAATGCAGAATGCCAGTACCGTATCATTAAGCAATGTCCATTCTCCACAAATAAGGACTGTGAAAGTAGGCAACATATTTGCAAAGCTAATTACTATTTGACATGAGCACAAGTGTAAGGATCCAGCCCATTCTGAACTCAGTGCCTAGYTACCAAGCCATTATGGATGTAAATGATTCCATAAGGTACAAGACATCACTATATTTTGCCAGGGTTATTATCAACAATGTCTGAGATAGCCACCAACTCAGCCTACTTAATGCTGAGAAGGAAAATTAGCCCTCACGTGTATAGACTTCTAAATAACAGCAGCAGAAGGATCCCTCAGAGACAGCGTTCTCAACTTTGGGGAAAGCAACCTAGACTTCTGAAGGTGGTTATACAACCCTATACACAGAATGCTGCATTTCATAGCTAAGACTTCAAAGAAAAAGGGAAAAAAAAGAAGGGTTCCCACTCACCTACAGTCCTGCCTGGGCTTTGGGATGTACCCTGGGTAAGCTCCCTCTGTGATCATCTTGCACATCCTGCTGTCTCGGTCAGAGGGGAGCAGAGTGCTAGGCTTCACAAGCAGGCCAAGGCAATGGTCAAATGTGTTGCGTTCTTCAGGTCCATCCTCGGTAAAGAAGCAATGGCCCAGTGCGTCATAACCCACAACATCCTTCACCTGCATGTACAAAGCAGAGGTCTGTGTTCAGGTTTCACCCTTCAGGAATTGTGTAATTATAAGAAACTTGTAGTAACAACATAAAGGAACCCCAGTACCTTCTTGAACTAAAGGTATACACACAAAAGCAGAAGCAAGACCAATTCCTGATTTAAGAGTATTTTGTCTAATCAATGGCTTAGACTTCAAAATAATTAGAGTTTGTCATCACTTGCTAATTCCATTCTTCTTTTGTCTGCCTTTTGATTTCACAAATCAGAGATTATCTTTGCATGAGACCGGAAAAAACATGGAGAGCGGATGCATGAAGGACATGAGATGATTAAATCACATCTGGGCTTATTCATCTTCACATGTAGTTACATGAGCAGCTACGTAAAATGCATCTGAAAAATGCAGCTGAGCTGAAAAAATATTTTTTCAGGCTATCAGAGAGGTGACAAGTTGTTTTCCAGACAGGCTGGCTTGTTTTAGGTTTGACCTGATCCTTTTTTTCCAAGTTGTTGACAGAAGCTTTTTTTTGACCTTGAGACAAATCAGCTGGTGTTAATCAGTGCAGTTATGTTTTTAGTCTGAATGCTATTAACATTGGAATATTGTTGTATCTGACAGAACAATAGCTGTCAGTCCAGTGAAAAATCTGAGAAAACAATTTCAGGACCAGGTATATGACTTTGAAAACTAAGGCTAAGACTGGTTCCGAAACAGTCCTCAAACACATCGTGTCCCACAAGTCAGGTGCTAGTGGATTTGTCTGGGATGTGGAAAATTAATTTCAGGTGTGCACTGGCCAAGTCCTAGACATTGGAGGCCTGGCTCTCCTGGAGCCTCCCTTTGCTTTTCCCATCTGTCTTCATCCATCCACMACTTTGGACCTAGAAAACCTTTCTGACAGAATTTTGTTTGACACCAGTATCTTTCTATAGATGCTTCTGATGAAAGAGTAATTGCCAAAATGCAAAATATATATTAAGCTGGAAAAATAAAGCATATTCTTGAAGGTGTCATTGAAAGACCTAGACTTCCAGATGCCTGAATTATTTCTGTAAACAGGACTGAGACTGTTGTCTATTTGTCTCAAAGTTGGAGCACCAATTCGGAATCAAATCCCAGGGCTAAAGCTGAAATGGYTACAGATATGTTTTCACATAAGAAAGAGAGCTTTGCTTGCCAAATTCATTACAGGCTTACATCTGCACACACATCTACTATGCATCAGCCATGCTCCAGTGTAAATATTCAACTCTCTGAGCACAGGTCACCACAGTAAATTAAACACAGCTAAAATGCTCTGCAAAGTGGTTCATTCCATTAAACTACCTAACTGAAATCCGCTGCTGACTTCTCTGATTTAATTAGTTGGCTTTCGTGAGGTCAAGGCTTCCTTATTTAGGTGCAGTATATAAGTACTAGACTAAACTGTCCGTCCTTAGAAGCATGAGCTTTCCTAGCCTTGCAATTCTAAAGGTTCATGGGATAGGAGAACATTTCAGGAGAGTGACCTATTTTCAGAAGAAATATTCCAACATGTGGAGGATGTCTTTTAATCACAGAGCTGCAGAGCTGCACGGAAATAGCCTTCTAAACCTATTAGTTTTCTCCTAAACAACAATACAATTGGAAAGACATGTCAGGAATGGTGTTGCAACATTCAGGTGATGAAAAGGCGCTCCTCAAAGAAATGCTCACCCTTGCTAATGCCATGAATCTTTCCAGCCAGCACAGCACTGCACTGGGACTGGGACGTGAAATACTGTGGTGATTAGCTTCTAGCTGGGGCAAAGCCACCTCTGTGCATGTGGAGCAACATCACAGGGGAATAYACCTCATGCAGTAAGAGGGGAATGAGGCAGAGAGAGGAATGGGGACTAGCAGAGGGTCTCAGCTAACCACTTGTAGTTATCCTTCATCCCTGACAGCCCACAGAGCAGCACTGATTTATCAGCCAGKGACCTGGTCCTTAATGTGTCTGTCACCCTCTGTTTGATTAACTTCTGCTTTGGTCAGCTCAGAGTTAGTTTCCTGTGCTTGTTTTCATGCAGAAGCCCAGTACTGAAAGGGCTGGATAGCAAAGAGCTGCTCATTCCAAAAGCACTTTTCCAATGAGTTTAACTTTGGATTTGATGAAAACCTTCTTGATAGTGCAGAATCTTACTTCAGCCTTCAGTAATTTATGGCTAGGTTATGCCCTCTGTGGTAAAACAACTGACATGTAGCATAGCTGGATTACTAAAAGCAGATACCACTGTAGTGCTTAGATAGCAAAACCTCTTATTCATAGAATAAGAGGTTCTTATCCCATGGATAAGTTCTCTGCTGGATCCTGCCTGTCTGTTTATTGACCTTCATTTAATTTCCTTCCCTGATGACTGTCTCTGTTTTTGCTTGCACACTAGAATCCAGTTGAGACAGTGGGAATCAGGGCAAAGTTTGATCCCTGGGAGTGCAGTGGTATAACTAGGTGGTTTTATGGCCCATGTATTATTAAAAAAAAAAACATTGTGAAATTATTGACATTTTCAAACAGTAATTACGGTGAGAATTTCTGTATTTTTTTTCTCCAGAAGGACCCCCTATGCCTTACTCGGTGAATAAGAGGTTGCAAACAAGTACAGAACAGTGTAGTAACAGAGGTGAGCTACTGATGGGATAGGGACTATTAGCAACCCTGTAAAGGTCCACAGGAAAAAGCAATTTGGCATCAGGAATACATAGGACTTTGTCTTTCTCCTAGTGTTTTCAGTGTATTTCTAAAGCTTGTTCAAAGAGTACAAAAAGTTTAAGTGCCAAGAGAAAAATATCAGCCAAGCAAGCAGAAGAGTCTGTATGTAAATTACTGCTTTAGTGACAGGTAAACTAAATGATACCCCTCTGCCATCTGTTAAACTGTTTCTACAGGTACTTCAGTACACTCATGTGAGAAGCCACTTTGAAATGAGTGACCTGAAGTCAAATATGTCCTTGAGTGCTTTATTACGCTGCAATTTAATAGACCAGAAAGATTTTGGTATGTCTGTTTCCAAAGAGTGGTTCACACACACTGAGGCAAAATATTCTGCAGTAGGTATGTTTTGGATTTGTCCGAGCTCAGAGGGAATAACTGTTACCTGCGGGGATGCAGAGCTCAGTGCTGTTTCTACAAATGATCCTTGTGCATGTAGAAACAGGTAGTGTTGCCCAAGTAAGGGGTTAAGAAGCAATTGGGAAATAGATGGAATAGTAATAGTACTCATCACAGATCTGTTTTGGGGACTGTGAACATATTTAGGGCAGGAGGAGGAGGAACGGAAGGAAAATAGAGCAGGAAAACAAAGGTGAGGTGAATGCTGTGGGATTGTCTGATGAATCAAGGGATGGAACTGCTGACTGCAGATGTCTATCACAGAGCAATGAAATGCCATTTAACTGATGCAACCTTTGGGGCATTCTCTTCTATGATGCAATGGGACAAACATGGTAAGGGTGCTTAATTTTACTGGAGCTTTCGTTTCAGCTGAAGGCAATAATTGGTCAAAATAAAAAAATATGTTAAGTATAATGGGTATAGTTTAGTGCTTCCATATTATAATACATCATAATCATCAGGGATTAAATTCTTGATCAAGATTTCAGATTGTATATCCCAAGATCTAAGATTTCTTTTGAGTGTCTTGACATGGAGTTGAATCAAGATCCTTTAGGGAGTTGTGGCTGTTGAGTAACAGCAGACGAATYAAGCTCCTTTCATCACTTACATCAGTTTGTCCAAATTTCACCATGCCATCTTGGCTGGAAAAGCCTGAGAACATGGATTCCTATAATATTTCCAAGTCACAGTGACACAATTGTCACTTGGAGAAGGCACAAGAGACAGAAATATTTCCAAATGCTCTATATAAACTCTACCATCTGACCCATAAGAAAAATACCAAGTGTGGGTATTTGTGCTGGCAAGTATTAGTCAACAGAGAATTAACATCATGAATTAGGTTTGGAACTTGGGCTTAAGCTGGGCCTTCAGCAACTCAACAGCTGTGCAATCTAGTATAGCCAGAGAATGTGTTTGTGGTACCACTGTTAACTGCTTTGCTATTATGCAACAGACAAATCCTGGCAATTTTGCCTTTCCACTCAATATATTAGCTGTGTTGGTGCTTTTGAATCGGGTGGGAAGTTGCTAAATGACATTAAATGCCTTCTATAATTTCTATGATTTTTTTCCCCAGACCTCAAGGTCATTGGGTAGGTTTCTGGGTTCATGCTAAAAATTTAGAAGGACAGAGGTCAGAAACAGGACCTCAGGTTCATAAATAGCGGATAAAAGCTGTTCTGCTTCTTAAACTGCAATTTCAAAGTCCTCTCTTTAGCTTCAATGTCTTCTAATTTTGTCTGTGGTTTCCCTTTCCAGTACTGCCACTTTCAGAGGCTCCATCCTGTGGTCCTTGCTAACAAGMATACTCTATGACCATGTTCATCAGTAAGTAAAGGACAGAAGTCATCTCTCAGCCAGAAAATGAAAATGAATATTCCCTCCCAGAAAGCTCAAGCACTGTAGACTCTCATGGGCTCTTACTATGATTTAATAGGGTAACTTCAGAGCAGTGACATGGCCATGAATTCCAAATGCTCAGAGACCATCCAGGTTACACTTGCCAATAATGTGTCTTCTGGTCAGACTCTCTCATATACAGACATATGGAAAACTGACATATACATATACTCAGGACAGATTACTGTACATTTCCCCAGGATGGGTAAAGATTTCTCTTTTATCACATTAATTTCATGAATAGACCTGGTTGGATATACAGTTTCACTAAAAACATCCATGCTGTAGTTTTTAGAYCCTGATTTAGTTACTGTAGCCGGATGGGTGCGCTGACAATGTGTCCTATCTGCAGCTTCTCATGGGTGGCTTTCAAGATACTCTTTTGAAACAATGGAAAGCTCAAGTTGTCAGAAAAATAGGGAATCCAACCAACACAGCTGATCTGGGTTTGAGAAATGCTGAAGGAACAACCGTGCTCTGGAGCATATGGAGGGGGAGAAACAGGGAAAAGCATTTGGAGGCTTTATGCCAGTCTCTGGGATGTTCAGGGTTTTGGCACAGCTCAGAAATGTTTTCCCTCACATCCTTACTACCAAGACAGKGTCCTGACATTTGGGATAATCTGAATGTGTTCTTACCATCCTTAGAGTGCTGCAACTTGTCTGACAAGTATATGACATTTTATAGATACATCCTAAAGGATTTCTWGTTCTGGAAAGCAAGTCTGACAAATTAGGCTCTGTATAATACTTTGCATGGCACTGAAGACACAATTCTTTGTTACAGCCAAGTCAAATCATGCTTAAACCTTCTGATTATCCTCTTTAAATAGCAAACTCTCTTTCTATAGATAGATTCARCTACTCATTAGAGATGGGCTGGTCCGCAGGCATCTCTGCACACAGAGAAAAGCTCTGCCTACTCTGAGTCACACATAGGCAATAGTGCCACATCCCCACACTGACCTCCTCATTCTTAATGCAGGCTGAAAAACGCCTAGGAGATATATATATATATCTCCTATGTACATATATATATATATATATATATGTATGTATCTCCACATATCAGGATGGGAAGAAAAAAACAGACATTAGATATAGCAGTAAAATTCATGACCCTGAAATAATTAGTCTGTATTCATGACATAAGGAAATAATTTGACTTGTATTTTAATCTGTAAGGTAGACATAGGAACTTCTTACCAGTAAACCATTGGATCCATGGACTGTGACACAGCGGGAGAAGGTGTGGTGAATGGAGACGTCCTTCACGTATGTTGGAGGGTTGTAGCCTCCCTTCTCGTCCACATCTCCAGCCATATGGAAATGAATTGGGTAATGTCCCATTGTCTGCTGGCCCATATATTTCAATTCTAGACCTTCAATATGTGTAGCCTTAAAACCAAGACCAATCTGGAGAACAATGGAATATTAGTCAAAAACCATAGAAGACTTTTGGGAGTAAGAAGGAGGGGAATACAGAGATAAATATACTTGAAGTGTACCTATGGAGAAATGTATTGTATGGAAGGAACTGCATGGGTTTGGAGTGAGGGGAAAGAGGGTCACAGTAGCTAAAGGGGAATATTAGTTGCTCTGTTATCCCACTGCTGCTGCCATGGCTATATCTGACTTTGGTTTGCAAGGAAAACTGTTCMCATTTTATGTTTTTCACGAAGTTCTGGAGGTAAGCTCAAATCTAAACCCTTGGTCAGAGCACCATAGAATTTGAGGAAAACTGGACTTGGGCTATAGAGAYTGTATCTCAGCCTGCCTGGCTGTGCAACATCTGTAGAGGTGTGAGGTGAGCTTCAAAGCAGGGGGAACAGCAGCAGGGTGGACCTGCTGTGCTTCAGGGAGAGGCTGTTTTCCCAGCGGGCTGACRCGAGGAATTCCTTTCTTTCAGCATCCTGGCTTCTTCGGTGCTTGCAGGTGTGGCTGTGTGGGGAGCAAAGTGCAGAGAGAGGGTTCCAGCCCTACCTTGATGTGTCCCCCAAAGGTGTCGAAATCGAAGAAGGAGCACAACTTGCTGCTGTACTCGTAGCACTGCCCCTCCATCTCGCCCATGATCACGACGTTGCGGCTCAGCAGCCCCACTTCTGCTCTCATGTCGACGCCATCGATGACTTCTCCAGTGTGGAGGTACGTGGCTTTCCCTGAGGGAACAAGATCCAGTTTCAGAGTTAACGCTGCCAATGCTGCYGGTTTCCCTTCATACTTCCTGCGGTGGAGTTAGTGTGATCATGAAAAGAGTAATTGAATCAGCAAAAACTGTTGGCTGACTCCTCAAAGGAGGGAAGCCTGCAGCACAGGTGTTACCAGGGTCTTGCTGAGATTTCTTCAACAGAGGAAGTGGGGTTTTTGGTCTTAAATTGCTTCATTTAGCTAGGGAGTTAAACCAGCAGTTTGTTAGACAAAACATACATCCTCCCTCGAACAGGGACTGTGACCACTGGGGAATTTTTCACATTGGTTTGCAGTCAGCTGCGTATGAATGTTCAATGCAAAGAAATTTGCTGAGGTAGCTACTGAGAAGTCCAAGGCCCCAAAGTAAGCAGAGAATTTTCTATAGTGAGACACTGGGGGATGCTCAGATCCCACAACACACAGCATGGCCCACGGGTGAGTATGACCCTGCTCCAGTCAGACTGTTCATTTAAGCAGGGGCAGGATAGGGCAGAAAGCCCTATGGAAACTGTGTCCTGAGACAGCCAGAGTCCCAGTCAAGCTTGTGGGCTCCAAAATCTCTCCCTATTTGCAGCTCCCAAACTGCCCAGTGTTGGATTCACCTGCACATCTCCAACTTGCTCCCAGTGCTTGGCTCTTCCTTGGCTTAGTCAAGTCAATGGGGATCATCTGTGTGCCCCATGCTGGGTGTGCAGAGCTAATAGCCTCCCTCCACACACACCTGGCTCCTTGTGGGGCTAAAAGCACTAAAGCCTTCCTTGGCCTGACCAAAAGGGGTGAACTCCAGACAGTGTGGATGTCTAGAAAGCAAAATAATCTCTTTGCTATAATTTCATTCAAACATATTCATCCTCCCTCCTTCCTGCCTTGGCTTTCTGCAGAGAATGCAGTTGGGAAAAGGCTCGTCTTACTGACTACATTCCATATTATTCCAGTAAAAATAAGTAATAAACTCTTTGAGTAAACACTGAGCTTTAAGGAATGCTACACTTGCATGTATTTAATTTCAGTGGAACTGTTCAAAGCAATAATTAGAAACAAATGGTAAGCCTGAAGCCGGGCTATCACTGTGGAGCACTTTGTGCTTAAGCGGAGGTGCCAAGCTGGGGGGGCAGGAGGGGATTTTGAACATTTAAACATTCCTGTTTTAAACAAAACATCATGTTTGACTTTATGACAAAGATAAGCAAACACTATTCACTCCCCTTCTCTCCTGGGCCTGGGAGCAACGCAATGCACTGATAATGTGGGGATTCAGGAAGGGTGAGTGCTCTGCCTTGCTCTGAGATTGCCATGCTCCATGACAAGCAGTTACATGTGCCCTCTGCCTCACCTCCTCCACCTATAAAATAAGTGACATCACGATAAAACACTATTAACTAAAACAATGGTGATGACAGGACAGGTAGGCACAAACCCACATTCCTACCCATTTATCTTCCTCCTCTGATGAAGAATGAGACAGCGTTTTGTTGGGAAGAAGGCTAGAAAAGCTTGGAGGAGGATTAATTATACTGCAGCAAGCCTGAAAGGCAGGAAGGCCTGGCTTGCCTGGGTGTCCCTGGAGCATCCCCTCATCAGGTGCACATCCAAAATTAGACCCAGCCTGTCCAAAAAGCAGCTTCACTTCCCTTGCTCATGTACATTAAAAAGCCCTGTCTACAAGTGTCCTCTGCATGAGGAAACTCTATGCTAGACTCTTATGCAACTCTGTTAAGGAACATGATTTCTCATTTTGAAACTGTTTTTTTAGCAGTTATTTTCAGTTTGCCCCCAACATTGACCTTGCTTTGAATTACTGAAGTACAGGAAGAAATGCAGATAATCATAAGAACATCTTATTTGAAGCCACATCTCTGGGAATCATGGCACTGAAAGTTGATAGGCAGTTTTGTTATTTATGTGCTGAGCTCTAGAATAATAAATGTCATGGTTGCATGTATTTAATTTAATTTAACACTAGCCCAGACATGCAAAATAGTGTAAGCACTGACAGGAATGTTAAACACGCACTACCCAGATTCTAAATATAACTCCTTGGGTGCATGTTTTTCACTTTGTGCTTTTGCTGACTTGACTAGTTGGGAGATAAAAGGTGAGRGGGAAAGCAATTCCCTTCCAGCGTCGAAGTGGATTTTGAATAATAGCTCTTTTAACCGAGTTTGGAAAAACAAACCTCTCCTCACGGCAGCCAGAAATTCAAGCTCCCCACGGCACTTGGGACTGTGCTGTGGAAATGGTTCACAAGAGACAGACGCTGGCACAGGAGCCCTCAGGTGCTGTAAAATCTTTATGGAAACCAGGACCGGGCAATTCCCATAGGGCTGGCAGTGCCAGGATACTGGCTTATAAACCTGAGGTGCTTGCAGTCAGCCCATGGGGGCCTGTTTGGTGATAGGCAGGAGAAAATAATAAGAAAAAAGAGGCTGCTGCATGGATGTGAACTCCAGAGAGGACACACGGGAACGGGAGCTGTGACTGGAATTTGGAGCTAAGCTGCTGCTTGCAGCGGGGAGGCTGCGCAGCAGATACCCCAAACCCTGAGACCTCAGCCATGGGCGAGCCCGAAGCAGCAACTCGGGAACGGGCACTGGAATGGCTGGATGATAAGAAAAGCAGCACTACAGCTCTGGAAGTGGGAGGGAAGCAGCTGCTGCTTCAGCAGCGACGCTGGTCCCAGGGATTTCCCAAGCCAGAGCCGGGTGACTGATTCACTGGCTCCTTCTTTGGGCTGGGTCTGGTACATCCCTCACGAGCAGGAGGTGCCTCACCGGCCAGCGTGACGTGCGCCGGGCTACAATCTACAGCAAACACAACCTGCCAGTGGCATGGGTTGTATCTCTACCTGACAGCCCAGTGTGCTGGGAAAAGCATCCCCTGGATTTGCTGCTCTTGCTGTCGCRCCGGTGCCTGCAGAGAGCAGAACATAAATTCACACAGAATAGAGGGTTAATTTGTGGGTTTGCCTGACATAGGTTTTGATTCAGCAGAATATGAGCACATTTCCATGCTTACTACTCAAGACAGCAACTATTAAAGTAGTCAGGGCAGTTATTAGTAAGGGCAGGGCAACTACTGAAAGGAAGTATGTATTAAGATAAACACAGATGATCCACAAATCAAGGGCAGGCTTATGTCAACATAACAGTTCAAAGTGGAGTCTCCGCAAACCGTGCAAAGCTTCAGGAAAACCTGTCATACTTGAACTTAACCATAAAACCTGGGTCTCGCTCCTTATCAAGCCTCCGAAGGGTGGAATTTTAAAACTATTTCAGCAGCTACAGAGGCAGATGTGGGCCTGGCTCTGGCGACCTGGCTGCAGATCTGCCTTTCAAAAGCCCCCAGGTCGGCTCACACATTCCAAGTGCCTTGGTGCTAAATGACTTAAACTCCTAAATCTCACTTTCAGAATTCAATCAGGCACTTGGAGGCCTAGGCTTGATTAAGATGAAATGGATCTCAGATTATCCTGATTTTTTTTTCTCTTTCTTAAATGTTCACAGTTCTCCAATGGGTCCTTTGTTCTCCTCAGCGCTTTCTCAGGCTGGGGATCAGATCTTCCCTCTCATGGTTCTTTAACATTTCCTAAACGAGAGTTTTTAAAAGAAATGTTGAACACAAACATGTCTATTCAACCCATGTAATCCAATGACAAGGAATACTTTGGGGTTTCTTTTGTTTGTTTGTTTAAATCAGTGTAACTCATTGTAGATGCCGGCTAGTGCTAATGTCATTATTGCATGTTTTTAATAACCAGCAAATGTTCTCACAGGCATCCTAACAAAACTTCATTACTGAATTATGCTGATGGCACCAGCCACCAAAATGAGTGATAAATAAATGAAAGCAATAAAATCATAATGTAATACAGCATGGTTTGGGAGAAGTAACCAGTTTCTTAAGTCATGAAGGATGAAACTTTGGAAAGATCTCAGACCCAACTCACACTCCTTGGGATACTTTCTAGGTAACTCACTCTGTGGAGCTCTGAAGCACCCCCTTGGCTGTAGGAGAGTTAAAAACCACGAGTTTACAAGCAGAACATTAAGTACATGCTTAAGTGCTGCGTTGGATCAAAACTTTCTGTCAGTAGCTGTTTGGTTTCAAGGCTGAAGTTAGTGATCTAGGGCTCTAGGGCTTGAGCTGGTCCTGTTTGAGGTGGGGTGGACATCTGGTGGATGGTAGACATCCATCTCCTTGGCATCCCAGAGCCAAGTCTGAGTCCTGCTGCCTCTCAGGGAAGAGCTTTTGGTCTTTGGTGATCCCAGTATCTGCAACATCTTTCCCTGCTCTCCCGCTTCGTGCCCTCTTTTTGCCCTAGCTCACTGGCAGTAAACCAACATTTTTCTGTAAATGGGAAGTTTTCCCTCTCTGCCCTTTCAGCTTTTTTTCTCTCCTCACCCTGACATTGAAGTCCTTGCAGTTGGGCTGGGAAGATTAAGCAGGTCTGGCTGGCAAACAGATCAAATCCTTACTTCTTAAACGGAGCCCAAACATGAACCTTTTGAACTGCTGTGTAAACTTTATTGTGTTTCTTCGAACTCTGCTTCTAGGCAATGGCCAAAGGTGGAAAATGGAGCTCTGAAAGTCTGCTAGAAAGGGCTATTTCACAATATTTCCTGCCCAACCCTCAAGCACCAGAGATGCCTTAAAAAAAAGGGTTTGCAAGGAATTCCAGCCGAAAGGATGCCAACCTCTACACAGACCTCTCCAAATCGCTAGAAATATCTGAATTTTGACAGTGAAGTAATTTCCCCTGCTCTCAAAGCACAGCTCAAATGCTGACACTGGCAGTTACTGTGGAGTTGTTTGAGAATTATATATTTACCATTCCTTTTATTTCAGAGCAAGTTCCCAGCATGACATGGAGCCCTGTAAACTCCATTATCTCTAAAATATATGCAACCCAATAAGCTTGATTTAAGATACATGTAATTGTAATAATAGATTTTCTAATACGTGGGATAATTTGCATAATTATGCCAGGCACAACTAGGTTTTTTTCATGCTTTATCAAAAGCCCTATACAAGCACAAAAGGGGATTTCAGCATTTCTCTTCCATGGAGAAACTTATCAGCACTGGTAGTAACTTCATACAGAGGGCCCAAGATGCAGATAAGATTTGTTTCCCAGGGAAAATGGACAAAATACTAGATGTTGCTACTATCCACTTCTGCCACAACACCACAACCCTTCCTTCCTTCCTGCCTTCCTTCCGTCTCCCTCCCGTTCTGTGGCACTGCCGGCCCTCCCGGGGCTTTGTGAACTTCCAAGATCAAACACTTTTAATCTGTTCCCACAGAGAAAATAATCTAGACAGAAAAATGACAAGCAAAAAAGTTAAAAATAAAAAAAAAGGAGGTGAGAGGGCAGAAAAGCTCCATTTGAGCCAGTGACAGTTTGACTGGGACTTGTGACTGTYGGAGTCAAGTGGAGTTAGTGGAATTACTTGCCCCAATAAAGCAGGTCCAAAAATACATCTTTGGGTGCCCTCCCTTGCTTTCATTGCTGGATTTTTTCAGAGGGCTACAGTTAGACATCCAAATCCTACTAAAATCTAATGAGAATGGAGTATTAGCTTGCTTAAGCTCTTCTGAAAAGACTAGCCTTACTTTCCTTCAACATTCATCTTCTTTGCCTCTAGCCAAGCCATTTCTAGCAAGTGAAGCAAGTATGACTCTCCATCAGGAAGCATCAGTATAAATAGCACATGAGCTAACTAATATGTTGGACTTATTTGGCACAATACTCTAAACCATGTCTATTAAGATATTACTAAACGATGAGAGCATTATAATTATAATTAAAGCTTGGAATGCCAAGTGGCTGTCCACGGACCAGAGGTTTTCTGAATTTTTTTTAACAAAGAGGCTTTTACATAGTTCAGATATGACATTCAGGTTTTGATTTAAAAAATGAAAGTAGAAAGGAAAAAAAAAGATTAAAAGGAATATAACCCATCATGGGTAGGAATGGTTTTATCATTTGTCTTTCAAAGGGCAGAATTCTGGAGTTCTCAACTGCTAACTTAAAGCTTCTCGGGAAAATTAGTCAATTCCACTTATTACACATGACTCCCAGCCCATGTATATTAGTGCATTGGCATGAAAGCCTTTTCTCCGAAGGAGCAGARCAAGCCTGAAGATCTCCTGCTGGGAAAGGCAGGCAGACATTCAAGAGGAAGGTCTTCTGCTTGCAATTAGGAGCCCATTCTGTCCGCTGCGCTGGAGAAGCAAAGGCTACAGGCCCAGCCCTGCTGCTTCCAGGTATTTTTATGCAATTGCTTTCTGTCTGTCACTCCCCCTTGCCATGATGCCTCAGCCTGCTGGCCAAATAGAGGCCCAAAGCTCCTGCTGTTGTATGGCCACCTCTCTGGCCAGTCATTGCAGGCAGGGATGCAGGCTGCAGGGAGCTGGAGACATGAGGATGGGCGCACAGAGTCCCTGGACAGATGGACAGCACCCACCCAATGGGGCATAAATTCTTCTTCTGCCTGTTCCTGATACATATTCCTGATGAACAAGGTTATACGATGACCAAGCACAGAGCAGCATGGTGACCTGCTGGCTCCTACGGATGGCTCAGCCATCCGCAGGATTTACTTCACCTAGAGTGAACTTAAGATCAGGCAGATTATTTTATTTTATAGTGTGAATGTGATTTTGCTGCAAGAAAGTTGGATGCGATTCTTATTATGAGACCAGATTCTGGCCTGATTGATATAATCAGTGAAATCCCAATTGACGTCAATGGGGTTGCCTGGATATAAGTAAGGGCAGACTTTGGCCCCAGTATTCAAGTTATTTGTGGTAATAAAAGGAATGTCCTGATTCTCCTAAGGAGTAATTGGAGACCAAGAGCCCAATTACTTTAACAAGTGTTTCCACTTGCTTCTTTACTTGAAAACCACACGATGTTTTGTTGTTTTTAACCCTTATTTATTTCCTTAAACTAACACTCTGGCCCTTGCTGTGGATAATAAATGTAACTACATGTATTTCACAGATCCTTAAGATTATGGGAAGAACCTAACAGAAATATTAATCTGTGGTCTTTATTTTTATTGACTAACTTCCAAGATCATCCTCATGAAGTAACTTGTATCCTACTAGTCTGGAACAGTTTTTCCAATGGCTCAAAACTTGTTCAAGAAAAATATTCAGTTTGGAGTTGTCTCTTCTTTATAGCTTGAAAGTACTAGTCGGTTTAAGTCATAAGACTATGATACATTCAAACTGAGAATAACATTTTTCTTGGCTTCACACACACCTCTCCTTTAGGCCACCTAATAATGAATGACTAGAGCTCTGTGAAAAAAACACTTACAAAGGAAGTAGATTTGTATCTTCCTGAAGATGTTGCATCAGAGATAATGGTAAAGTAGCTCATTTCACAGAAGTGAGCAAACTCCCTGGTGCATTGGATGTTCCAAGTGCCCTCATGGTTTCTCAGAAAGATTTTACTGCAAATATACACAAAAGCTCTGCCTAGAAAAACTGCCAGTGCTTAAGCAAAAGATAATGGAATATGCATGAATTATCACCAAATACCACAATTCAAATATGGGCTCAGCTATTGCACATTCATATATTTAAAAAGTTAGCTTTGCTTTTATAAAGCATGGCAATTACAAGTTCTTTATCTATTCCCAAAAGAGGCAGTAAGGTGATGATTCTATATTCTGCTTATCAGYCTGCCAAAATCTAGTTCTGGAAGAAAAAGACCACTTTGCAAACTCAAGTGGTGATGCACATCTCCAATTATTCATCTCACTTTTATGCTTTTATTTGTAACGCTCTGTAGTTGGCCATAGTTACCCTATTTAATTGGGCTTAGTAGCTGATGGTCACTGTACAACCATTAGACTGCAATGTCTGATCAGCAACAACAATATGTTCCAGATTTGAGCCAGTCATCATCTAGAGAAAACTCTCTTGCTCTGCAAAGTTTCCTGCTCAGATTAATGCAGACAACCCTCTACACACTCCCTTGCCCCAAGTACTGTGGCTCTAGACAATATGGTTGGCCACATGACTCCAGAAATTCTTGGTTAATGCATCACATCACCTCAAAGCAATGCAGTCTAGACACACAGTAAAAAGAAACAGCAGCTTCAGTAGTGCAGGACAGAGTTTTGAAAATGTAAGACTACATTTCTGGTTAAATATAACTTTCTTAGGAAAATAGCCAGTTATACATTACTTCATAGCCTTAAAAATTTCACATGGTCAGCTCCTCCCCTAGCTCACCCTCCAGTTCAGCTACGCTCACCTCCTGCTCTCCAGAAAGTGGCACATTTCCAAAAGTAGAAATGCACAATTCTATTCAAGAATTCTATTCAAGAGTAGGTCAAGCACATTAACTGATTTTCTCCCTTAAATAAATACATCCATTCAATAGCGAACAAACAAACAAGCAAATTWAAAAAAATCAATCAGGTACTGAAAAAGAAAGGAAGCAGAATCAAATCAGACTTTTCTTCAAGCAAGAAAGGCATGTGTTGCTGAAAAACACCTCAGAACTCCCACTGTTTACTTAGTGGGGTTACCTCAGTGTAAATGGCAGTAATACTGACTTGACAAGACACATTCCTTACCTGCTACCTTGACCTGGTTGGCTCTGCAAGCCCTGCACGACAGCACTGGGAACTCTTCAGCCTGGTACATGGAGTAGTCCGTGCTTGCAACCACAATCCTGTCCCCAGGTTGCCATGAGCTCACATCATCTGCCAGGTTCAAGACCGTGCTGTTCACATTGGTGTCAATGGTCACTGTAAGCTTGGGCTTCACTGAAAAGCACACGTATGAATTCAGTTAAACCTATCACAAAGGGTTTGCTTGTGTTTTGTGTGCATCATTTTTTGACCACCACCAAAAATCRTAATTTCCTCATGCAATATGAAACAGTTAACTCTTCCAAACATGCTCTTTACTGGCTTTGGATTGGAAAGCAAGCAAACAAGAAAATGGTTTCTGTTCATTGCAGGCAGGTGGATTTTCAGCTAATCCAACTAAATTTAAATGTAGTTCTTAGCGACTCCTTTTCACTACACCCACTTAGCAAGAGAATTTATGGGCACCGGACCCCGGTATTTACAGCAGGCAAGTGGTCTTTAACATAATGACTGCTTTTTCAAAAACAAAAACGTTTCCTATCCTTCTATTCCAACCATTTGGACACTAAAGATTCCCATCTAATAAGCAGGTTAGAATAGTGGTGTTGGAATTGGTAACTACAAAATGAATTATTACTTTTAAAATCTGCTGTCTTCTTGCACACTAGATGAGTAATCTTACCTCATTCCAAAATGCTTTAATGAAAGGCAAGTTATGTAAAGAAGGGACTTGCCCAATGTTTGCCATAGCCTTGTTGGGTTTTCAAGACACCACCCTGTTACCTATACTAGTGTGCAGGAGTTTTTTTCYAAGATAAATCTTCAGCTGTTGTATCTGTGTTCATGTCAATACACCAGCCAAAACTGCAGCTTGGGAAATTACTGAACTCTTATGTGAGCAAAAGACACTCATCAGAGGACAGTGTTTCTGCCTTTTCCTGATCTGGATTAGGTCTACACTATGTATATCAGGCAGAATGCTTTTCAGAAGAGACTACAGTTACCAGCAGCAAAAATACTGCATGAAATTCATGTTTCTCAAATGGATTCTCTTYCTCAGTGCTAACTTCTGCATCCTCCCAACGGCCATGCTGGTGGAGGAGGTCCTCCAAATGACATGAGAGTCTGGCTTCCAGAAAGAGGTCACATACCAGATTTGCCACACAGGAACCGTACTTTGTAGTTCTGGCAACCTTCGTCTGTCTGGTCCTTACCATGGCACAGGAACCTATAATCACGGCCACTTTTGTAAAAAACCTCAGTTGTTAAGTTTGCTCCATCAAGCGTCATCGCCTGAAATGAGAATAGAAATGTGAAATGGATTAGAACTGGCTGTGAAGGGACTGCACCTACACATTGGCACCTTTGAGACAGGCAATTGCTCTGGTTTCAGATGAGGTACAATAGCTGCATAACAAAACAAGATGACTGCTACATGTATTATCCAGCTAGTACTCCAGCTGRTGCTCTAACAGGGCTATTTTATGTGCAGACTGTGTAGATTATTGCTAGSTGTATGTGTTTCTCCCATATCTATATTAAGACCATGTGCTTTTTTTGGAAGGAATATTCTGAGCTTTGCTAACATCTGCCTTGGTGCCCTAGATTTTCTCTTGCCATTTGTCTGAGGTCAGCTGAAAACACTGAACACAGATGCTTGTACCCAAATGAACTCATGGTTTTCAAGCCTCTTGACTGTACTTGTTTCATTACTTGTGGATAGACTATGTCTGAACTTTGCAGAAGAAAGAGGTGGCAGTGTCTTATGTCTTCTTTGCATTCACCARTGATAACTGCTATATCTACTAAGATAATAGGAAGCTGTTTTAACATCCATGTTGGAGCATTGCTCAACAAAACAAAACAAGAAGTGGCATTTTCTTACACGTATGTACCAGTCACCAGTGGGATACACAGCCTCTTCTATGTTCCTGCTGGAGCAACACCAGCCCTCAGGGCCAGGTTGGATTTCACAGTCTGGGCTCTGAGGCTTGCAATTCTCCTGATGCTTTCACAAAAATGCAACGTGTTTCTCTGGGCAACCCAAACATCACATGCATTTTAACAAAGCACCAGGAAATAAAACATCTTTCAATGATGAGCCTCATCCTGCATCTCTCATTGATGCCAACCTTCCTTGTTAATGCAGACACTCCGCTACCCTGTTTAGATTTGCACCACCAGCTGCAGGGATGTGCCTCTGGCTGGRCTGGCCTTCTATTATTATCATTTTATCTTTAGTTTTCTTGCATGTAGCATAGCTGGAGCAGGCCAGCTGGTATAAATCAGTGTAACTTTATGAAGTCAATGAGTAACACCATTAACACTGCATGAGGATTTTCCCTAGGATCCTGAGGATAAACTAAAAAATGCTGTTTCACTTTTAATATTCATGGGGAAAAAAAAGTAGCTCTCACTTAGCAGAACAGAAAAATAGCTTTGATTCTTGAAGAGAAGAATGTATTTCTTTTTTCCTCTTGTAATAGACATGCTAGAATGACCAGTATTGTAATGAACACCTGACCTCTCTTCTAAACTAAATTGTCACTTCAAATATATACGTAAGGAAACAGAAATAAATGTGGATTTGCTCAGACCTGGCAAAAAGTTATAGGGCAATTTTTTTCCTTCCTGTTCAAGTGGAGATTCTTTATAACCTCTATCCTTAGAAACTTTCACTCATACTGTTAGCACTCCCATTTACTTAAATAGCAGCATTCTTGTGAGTAAAGACAGCTCTCACAGTTCAGAGTATGCAGGGACCTTAGTGATGTAAGGCATTTTACTGTCTTTTGCTAGGTAATGCTTCTGTTATATTGCCAAATAGATATGCAACGTATTTAGCTGGCATTTACCAAGAAAGGTTTTTTTTTTTTTTTTCTGGGAAGGCCTTAAGGAACCTTTTGCAGTCTTGAAAAAGGTATATGATTTCCCTTCAGCATGCTGGCCAGATGGTGTAATTATAATGTTTAGCCTCAGATAGATTTCAAATTTCTTTCCACAGAGAAAAACCAATTGACTCAAATAAATGGCTGCAAGGTCACTAACATTTTTTTTCCAACCTACCAGTTGGTAGCTTGCACTATTGCACTATTCTCATCTCACTGCACTCTGTGATTAATTTTTCAAGTAGGATCCATTCCAGAACCATTTAAAAACTTTGAAATTTTCATGTGCTTTTTTTTTTTTTCTTTTAATCTTCCAACAGGGAACCACATATTTCCTAGTACATCTGTGCTGTCTGTGGCCCCATCTGTACTCCTGCTTATGCCAGAAGCCACAATTTACTGAGGAAAGCTTAATTCTATAACATTTTATCTCAAAAAATACAGAGGTTGGATATCAGATCTTGTCAGTCAAGTATTAAAGTGGTAAAATAATCAGTGTATTCTATTTAGGAAAAAATCCACTGACAAGCACCAGGTTCTGATCTGAATCACTGTAAAGAGGACTGGCTCTGTCTCTCTAAAGCAAGTAGTAAGCAAGCCTACCTGGATATCAATGGGTTGACTACAGATTTTATCATGATAAGCAGCTTTGAAGTCTGAAAGCTTCTCCATGTCCTTAGATCTTGCTTTATYGGGCTTCTCAAACCACTCTGTCCACTCTACATCTGGAGACAAGTGCAAACAAGAAAAGTCATTTGAAAGTCAAGCTTAACGAATGCTGCAAAACGCATAAAGCATAATTTGATCTCAGATATCATTCACAAGTTTCTTCACCAGTGATCTAACTCCTGTCTCTTTCTACCAGTCTGTCAGCTGCTTTTAATGATTCTGCAAAGTGTAATCAGCCAAGGGAGACTGGAGTTATTAAAAACTACATAATTGGAGTATGCAGACTGAATATTATTAAATAGTTAYGGATTTTCATACTGTGTTCTTCTACTTAGCTGCCTATTCTGGTTTTCAGATCAAGTTACACTTGGTTACTGCATGTTGTCTGAAACATAGATATGATGACTATGCAGTCAAAAGAAATAAGAGGTTTTGTGTGATCTCTTAGATCATAAGAGATTGAATTTCATACTCAATGCAGTAAAGGAAAAAGGATCCTGGTTACTCAGAGGGACCTGGAGACAACTGGAGAAAGAATCTGTGCATATTTGTTACTTGGCTTAGCATCAATGTAAATAGCAGCTAGCAAGACTGCTGTTCCCCAGTGGAAAGATATTGCAATAAAAAGCACCATTCCAAAAAGATTTCACCCTGTTTGTCAGCTCCCTGTCATTGAGCTAAGGGGCAAACAGGCCTCTTACCTTGAACCCACTCACTCGTTGAAGAGACATTAAAATGTTCTCCACTCTCAGCTAGGAACAGCTTGAATACTTTGGCCACTGCTGACCCTTTGTGGCCTGCAAAATAAGAATGACTGGTAAAATCACTGCAGTCAACAGAAGTCAGAACTGAAAAGGTAAAGACTCAGGTGAGCATTTGCATATTTTGGACATATAATCCAGAGCTAGTCCCACACAACTTCCAAAAAAATTCTTGAACTTGGAATCAGGTTTCAGACACTTTTATAACTGCTTGGACAACCACAAGGAAAATCTTTCATAGACCAAGGAGACATAAAAAAGACCCTAACAATTTAAGTATTTTGCTATTTTTATTTGATGTTGTAGTAAGTGATGTCATTAGCTATTTTTGATGATGCCATGAAAAGTCACAGTAAACATCACAGCTCTTCAGTTTTTTATGAGGATGTAGTTTTGCAAGAGCTTTTGAGGCTACCAACACAGAATACATMGACTTCTATTTTCAAATGATATAACTGGGATAGCCCCACAGCTCTCTATCAAAGGAGGCAGACTGATCTCAAAAGAGCTACGTGGATTTATATTGGTGCAGGATCTGATCTTTTATCTCAGGGTTCAAAAAGCCCAAGTTGTTAATCTCATTTATAACTCCAATATTTCTAGAGATAATGTTAAGGATTTTGTACATGAATTACCTTGATATTCRATGTGGTCTTCAACAGAAGAGGAGGGATTTCCTTTAACAGTAATAAAACTCCATGGGTGTCTGGGAAACAAAGASAGAGAGGATCAAATTATTTAATGTATGAGATGCCGATTTTTTTAAAATGCAACATATCTTGTATTTGAGGCACCACACTCAAAACAGTACAATTTATGTGACTGGCAGTTTAGTCAAAATAAAAATATCTTAACACTTTATATTTCTTTAGAAAATATATTGCAAGAGAGGGGAAGTAGGGAAGTTCAACACAAATCCCTTCTTAACACACACCTATAATTAGTAGTTTCTTGACTGAGTATTTAAAGAGGCTTGTTTGTGGCAGGAACAAAGGACACTGACAGTTCTTTGGGGAGCCTGAAAATCTGTGTGTTCAGGGGTGTGTGTGTCCAAGTACACAAAAAGACTTGAAAAGGTTAAATGAATGTAAGTCATGTGAAAATCTTATACATCACTCTTCTCTTCTCTGAGTGTGCTCTCAGACAGGTTGTCATCCTTGCCCTAACTCTAGCAAATAATCCCACAGATTAAGTTTTKTCTCCATCTGTAAAAATATCCCAGGATTTCAGTAGCATCAGGATTTACTCTCGAGTCTTGCAGGTTCCCCTATGCCCCACATTGGTTGGTGTAAGCRATAGAATGAACCACACTTGGACCTCCAAGGAAAGCATGAAGGGACACCGACAGCCACTGAAACCTGTGSTGCTGGCACAACAGGGACCCACAAAGGCCCTGTCACCCCACAGAGATGGGGTGGCAGGGAGGAAAGACACTTTACCACTCAATAGGCAAGATTTTGGATTATTTTTTGTATTACTTCTTGGTCCCGCAGATTTGAAAGCAATGACGAAAAAGATGATGGCTCCAACATATTCTAAAAATATTCTAAAATAATATAAAGCTAGCCGGTTTTGTAAACCAACCTTTGGCCTCATTTCCATATGTTATTTGTTTCCTCTAGCTAGTTTTTCACTAACAGAATTTTTAAACCAGTTCCTCCTCAATGCATGAGGACCCATACCATCTGTCTGGGACATATGAAGTGGGAGGACCAGTAAGTCCAGTAAAAGCCAAACCAGTGCTGCTTGGCTGAGATTCCAAGGGGAATAATTGTGTCATTGAGCGCTGAAAGCCGTGCTCTTCATTTATTAGTAAAAGGGGGGAAAAAGCTCACTCAAAGAGCAAATTTACATTTCAACAGGGCAAGAATAGAGGAGGAATGCAAAGATTTTCCTTTCTTTCCTCATCTCCCAGACGGAATAGGCAGCAGGAAGCAATGCCAGGAGCACAGAAACCAAGCTGCATAAATTAGCATTGCTCTACTGCRGCAAGGGGGGTTCAGGTGGCTTGACCATCTGGTTGAGTGTGACACAACTGGAGATAGCCTGGCGTTTGTCTCTACAACCACCCCCTCAGAGTCAGAAAGCTCCCCAGCATATGGCCAAGCAGCTCTCAGGAAAGCACCTGAGGGCTGAGGTGTACACCCCTGCTCCCAGCTACAGACTTGGCTGCAATGGAAAGCATTATGCCTAAATTATACTTAAGTTATACTTAAGAGAAGCTGTCTGAAATTCCCTAGCCAGTGCAGAGAAGTCCTTGTTGCATTTTACACAAAATCTTCATCAGCTCCCCAAAACAAACTCCATCTCCACTGCACTCCAAACTGACATTTGTCTGTTCCCAAAGACTGCTTTTTTAAAATTACTTATCCCTGAAAAGTAGGGTTTTTTGGTTTTG